AAGGGGGGGGAAAGGGGGGAAAAGGGGGAAAATGAAAAAAAGGGGGAAAATGAAAAAAAGGGGCCGAAGGTATGTGGGCGGCAGGAATCTTACCTTTGTTGTTCCAAGACCACTTGCTGAGTCTCGTCGAGTTGGAATCGGGGTTGACATAACAAGGACCGTTCTCGTAGAGGAGGCCAGGCATGGAGGATGAACCGGGACCACCGTTCATCCAGATAGAAAGGGGCGCATTCTCCGGATCCTCGCGGGCCTCAAAGAACCAAAAGAAGGTGTTGATCGGGTAGTCCTGATCTTGGCCCAAACCATCGATAGTCCCAGGGGGTAGGTGGATGTAGCCGGCATACGACTTGACTCCCGGCGTGGTCTCGCAAATTCCCGGCTGGCGTGGATATTAGGACTCGTTTCTTCAGCCAGCACGGCCTTGCCCTTCATCACCGAGTAGGTAATGTAAGGGCTGCAGTATGAGAGAGGAGGACTCGACTTACTTGCTTGAAGCTGATGGTGATGCGTTCATCAAATCTGGATTGGAGGACCGTCACATCCTCCGGCTCGGGGGGGAACTGGGCGGCCGAGGGGCCGATGAGAGCCCCGGCCCAAGCCAGGTATGAAATGATTCTTGTTGAGACCATGTTCTTCAGTCTTTGGGCAGTGGAAGAGCACAGGGATCAATTAATGTCAAGATATCTCCGTCAACCACCTCTGACGACGACCAACGAAGTAGCAGAGAGCAGAGGGACGGGGAAAGGGGAAGGGAGAGAAGAGATGAGGCGCCGAGAGACACGACGCAACGTATCACCAGTGTCTTAACGAGTTCGTTCGCACCGAATCATTGCCGGACAGCTGACTTCTTATATCCGGGGTTATCAGAACCCCGTGGTCCGGTCGTCGGTGTTTGTGTTACTACCTTCCCGATTGGGGGGGGCACGAAGGACGAAGGACGAATGTCTCCTTATCGACAAGGGTTGACGACGTCAACGGACCCCGAACTCAGCTTCGCTTATATTCTAGTGGCATTTTCACAGGCACTTTTGCATGCACTCGCGACTGGCACATCTGCAAAGATGCGGGGTTCTGTAGATGCTCTCGGGTGCATGACGAGAGGTGAACCTCCGCGAGAGCAGGACCTCCTTTATGTGGTTTGGCAGCGAGATGTTAGGAACTTGAAGAAAGGGGGGCGGGGCCAGTGAGGCCGGATGGGCGTGAGTGACGGTCAGATGGTAGTTGAGTGTTACAAGTTTCGGCTGGGGCTACACATGGAATGGATAGCTCAAAGAAGCTGCATACAGAGGATTTTGATCACTATAATCAGAGCCCGGGTGCGAGACCATGAAGGAAAGAAAGAAGCCATGGACTCTGTGCTATTGAAGACTCGATCCTCTCGTCCCAAGGGCTCTAGCCTAATTGTCTCTCAACTTGTTTTTTGTCCCTGTTTTGCCTCTCCCTTGTCCAAGTTCCAGTGCCCTAGGCTCTGGCAAGCTAATAGAGCATGCTATTTACCGTTTGATCTCCCATTCAGCCGCCCCGACTGACATCCTTAGTAAGGTGAAGTCACCAGTCCAGACTGGACTCAAACAATCAGATTGTTTACATGAACCGACGACCCAGCCTGCTAGCCTCCAGGCGCTCCTCCTCCAACTCAAAAGACTCAAGCTCGTCGTCCTCGTCGTCATCCTCCAGGAGACCGCGCTTGGCCATGCGAGCAAGCGCGCGCTCCGAGTCGAGCACCGCCCTGGCAAGACGGCGACGCGACTCGGTGACGTTGGCGGAGCCCGCCATCTGCACCGGCACAATCCCGCCAAAGGGCCCAGCGCGGGCGTCGTTCTGGCAGCGGACAAGGCAGACGTTGTCCTGTCCAGCGACGGTGCCAGTGCACTCTTGGTTCGGCGGGATGGCGGCCACGAGGGGGAAGTCGGTCGACTCGCCGCTGCGATTGCGCGAGTTGCGGCCAGGCGGCGACGTCAGCACCTGGATGGTGTTCCAGGTAGAGGCCGAGCCGTCGGCGTTGATCATGCAGCGGTAAGGGCCGCCGCCGTCGGAGTTGACCTGGTGCAGGACCATGTCGACCTGGCCGCCGCGGGTGACCTGGGGCAGCTGGTCGCCCATTTCGGCCATGATGGCGCGGGTGCCAGACTCGAGGTCGTTGTCGCCGGCGCCGATGGTCTCGCCGAAGGTGTCGGCCTGGTCGCCGCGGAAGCGCGTCGAGTCTTGCTGGAAGGGGCGGCGGCGGGTGCCGTCGCGGGGGGTGCTGGTGTCGATGCCGAGGGCCATGCCCTGGCCGCCGGCGTCGCCTGTGGCGGAGATGATGGCGCCGTGGCCGGCCACGAGGTGGGCCGAAGCCAGGAGGGTGGCGGTGAAGATGGTCTTGAAGGAGCACGAGGCCATTTTGTCTTTTTGATGTGGTTTGTTTGTTGGGTTCAAGTTGCAAGGGAAGGGCAAAGTGATTAGTGAGTATATTGATTTGCGGAAGAACTGAAGGAAGGGCTGAGCTTGTGGGTATAATTTATAAAGATCTCAACTCCTAACCAGAGGAGGTGTGAGTGGAAAAGACAAAGAATTAGAGAAGAGAAAGGGACGAGAGGAGGCTTCGAGCACTGAGATGTCAAGTCGTTGTTGGCTGTGTTTGATCGGAATGAAGAAACAAACCTGAACTCGAGCAGGTCGGCTCCTATTTATGTTCGAATGGGACGGAGCATAATGGCCATTCCATGATGAGCTTCACGAGGCAACATGAAAAGAAAGAAAACCAGTCGAAACGATTCAAACGAATGCTCGTTTCCAACCAGAGAAAGACTCAAAGACTACTCACTGCTCAGCCACCGACAAAGCGTCGCAGTTAAACGATCAGATGAAGCCAAAACGAACATGAGGCTTCACGCTTTGGTGATCAAAACGGAGGGCCTCACAGGAAGTTGAGATGAGCATTGACTCTTCTGAAGGTTTGAAGCTCTGCATCAAATATGATTGTGGGACAGTCTGAGGCGCCGGCCGATCGGCCACTCGGAGAAGAGAGTTGAGGCGAGGGACAGCCGACAGCGGACTGCAACGCTCACATGAATACAACGTACCCCTGGCCTCCTCAACGCACAGTTGAGGTGCCATTGAAACATGAAATCATGGATCATTCATGTTGTCGCATAACCGTGTTTCGACGATCGCTATGAACCATCCCTGGAGCAAATCACCGAGTGCGTAGGTAGCATTGTTTGACGTTTTGATGTTTCGTGAGCTCGGACATTGTTTTCTTTTCTTCCCCCTTGACCCTTTCCAGCCAGCCTGGTCAGGAGTCAGGACTCAGGGGTGGGAAGGGTTAAAGGGGGCGCAGCACGGCTTTGGGGAATCCCGGCTTGGCCGTCGCGGGCGGACCAACAAACCCCGAACCCCGCAGCAGCCCCGCAGCCCCGCAGCCCCGCAGCGGCTGCCGCCCGGGCGAGTCCGAGCCATCGAGGAACCGGTTGAGGAACAAGTTTGCCCAAGGTATTGAGGCCTCGGGTTACTCCTTACATGTAGTATCAAAACGACAGAAGTTTAGTTACTACCACCTATAAGGATGGTATAGGATAACGGCATAAACAGTGTAGTCCAGACGAAAAACTCAACTAGCTAGCTAGACCGGAGTGTCCCCTATCCGTGAGATCCCCGGGCCTATAACGCCACGGCGTGGCTAGTGCTGTGTGCATGTGGCTATCACCATGGTCGGTTTGCGCCGCGCGGCCCCTGGGAAGAGTGATACCTCCGCCACTCCGGCACCTCCGGGGGCAGCACAAAGTCTACGCACCATTGAGGCATGTCGGGATGATTTCTCCATCGTCTTTGATAAGGTCCAAAGGTCCAAATCTGCAGCCATTGGAGACAGTATAGCTTCATCAAATGTTCTCGTTCTCGCTTGACCAGCATCCTGCCCGTCTTGTTCCACTCCCACTCGTCCTCCCTGGGGTCCGTCCTCAGGTACGCAGGCTTCTTCTTGCGCTTCTTGCAGTTCTTCTTGTCATTCTTCTCGCTGCACTTCTTGCAGCCCTTCTTGTCGTCCTTCTTGTCGTCCTTCTTACAGCTCTTCTTATCGTCCTTCTTGTCGTCCTTCTCGTTGCACTTCTTCTTACCCTCATTGACCTTCGTGTGGATGTAGTAGTTATGCCTCCTATCACCACCTTTGCTCATCCCTTCGGGCTCAGGAGCCAGAGGCACGCCACCCAGCTCAGGGGCGGGTTCGGATTCCGCATCAACACCCTGCTCAGGGACGTGTTTAGATTCTGCATCGACATCCAGCGCAGGGGTGGGTTCGGATTCCATACCATTGACGATATCCCGCTTCTTCATGTATCGGGGTATAGGTTTTTCCCCGCACTTCCTACCGTCCTTCTCGTCGTCCTTCTCATCGTCCTTCTTCTTATCCTCCTTCTTGACCTTCTTCGCCTTCGCACGGGGGCACCTCCAGCAGGGGCACTCACACTGCACTTCGGGTTCGGGAGCCACGGGAACGCTACCCCGCTCAGGGGCGGGTTCGGGGTCCGCATCGACATCCCGGAGCTCCGGGACGATAAGTAGTTTAGATTCCGCATCGACGGCCACATCCCGCGACGCCAGTTGAGCGTCACCACGAGGCTTCTCAAGATCCGGATTCCACTCCGTGCTGCTGCCAGTGCTGATCTTCATGGCGTCGTAGACGGGACGGAGGGGAGGGTCAGCTTCCCCGACAACATAAACATTCTTCTGCGCAACAGCGCTGGGTACCGCCAGGAAGACGGCCGAGCAGATGAAGAGGACCGCGGCGAGGCTGGTCGGCCTTCCTGTGGCTTTCGTGGGTCTCATTTCGAAATTGTAGTATGGGGCTTTGGACCTTTGGGTTGGAAGGATGGCCACTTCAGAGATGCGTGGCTGGAGGTCGTGACAGCACTGAGGACTGAGGAAATGTGTCACATAAGAGGCATCCGAGAAGATGGACCAGAGGGGATGCCCAGTCTCGTTTAAGTATTCTCTTCTTTGGTCCGCCTCTGTGCCGAGTTGCCTCCTGAGTGGCCGTGCCTCTTGGGAAGCGCGAGCCGTGGAAAGTTAATTGCTTTGAAAGGTTGAGTGGCGGAATACGAGGGCCCTGGACATGAATTGCTCGTGCTTACACCAGACACGTAAGAAGACCGGGCAGACTGGTGGCTTAGGGCGTTTGCCTTCGCGCCTACGCCGTAGGCTCGTAGCCCGTCTTACAGAGCACATCTAAACGTCATTACGGACACGACGGACCAGGCCACCAACCCTCTGCAAGTTACAAGTCCTCCCTACCCATGACCTGGACGGGTGTTTATGCCCTCGCCACTGGCTGAATATCTGGAAATATGTCCGAGCACAGGACAATGAACCGTGACCAGATGCTGTATCGGTTCATCGTAGTTGCCAGACGGATTGCTGACGTTGTTGACTATCTATCGCAGGAGATTACTACTATGGAAGAAGTAGGCCGAAATCAAGGATTTGGGAGGGACAGGAAGGGCGAAAAACTGAAGAAGAACATCCTATGTTCTGACATAAAGACAGTCTCAAGCTTTCCGTAACGATAACATATATTTGCTCATAGAAGCCCCCAGCCCTTCATGTCATTAGATTCATCACACGCGACTCTCCATACTGAGTAAGGTTTTGGCTTTAAGTGTATGGTTCTACTAGATATGCTCGATCTAGGCGCCACCTCGTGTTACAAACTGCATCCATGTCAGCATAGACGTAGGATATACGAGCTATCCCTATAGATGCTATTTTCGCCGTGACCTGACCTTGAGGAAGGTAGACCGTAGATCCAACGGAAGGGCACTACAGTCTACGGTTGCCTTGCTCCGTATCTGTACTGGGTGTAAGTCGGCAACAGGATGGTCCAATATCACCAAATTGAGTTAATAGTTGTCTATGCCAAAGTCCAAAAGATTAAGTTTTGATCATCACCACCTCATCCAACTTAAGAGACGGAGATTCTTCGCTTGTAGTCATCAGTGAAACCAGACGCCTTCATCCATCCTTCCAACTATAACCATGGGCTCCATTTTACCTTGTATCACCCCTTCCCTGGCGCTTCGCTCTGGGCAAGGTATCTGTAAAACGCTCAGTGCGGATATCGTCACCCGTCATCGTCATCCCCAACAGTTCATCTAGGACGCATCATGCACTCTTCAGTCTCCCCTCGACACACCCGCCAGGAACGCCAGGCACGCGCCACACGGCGACGAGCTCCAGCCCCGCCGCCTCAAACATCTTCCGGAACCCGGCTTCCGTCCGCTCTTTGCCACCCATGGTCATGACGGCCTGGTCGAGCACGGCGGAAGCGAAATCGACCTCCCCGACGCGCGGCGACAGGACCATTTCGCAGACGAGGACCCTCGATTGCGGCGACATGGACTGCGCCAGTTGGGTGAGGATCTGGATGCCCACGTCGTCGGCGTAGTCGTGGAGGATCATGCGCATGAAATAGGCCTTGGCTCCTGTTGTACATTGTTAGGTCTCTCTACGAAGAAAACAGAAGAAAAAGCACAGGGCTACCTTTCACAGGCTGTGGAGTCATAAAATCATGCTCCAAAAGCCGAACCTCCGGCGGAAGCGTCCCGTGGTCCTTCGCAAGCCGGATCGCCTCCCCCCTCTCCTGAAGCATGCAATTCTTAGGCGAAAGCTCGGGATGCGCATCGAGAATCTTATTCAGGACCACGCCCTCCCCCCCACCGACGTCGATCAGTTCGACCACGCCCCGATCGTTTTCTTCGGGGGTGTTGGCGAGGGTGCTGAAATCGAAGTGGCCGACGACGGGGATGGCGACATCGAGGCCGGTCATGCCGGTCTGGAAGGTCTTGAGCCTCTCGGGGTGCTGCATCATGATGGCCCAGACGGGGGTGCCCTCCTGCTTGTAGTAGGCCGTGTAGGGGTTGTGCAGGGGGTCGTCGGGTTCCTTGTACTCCCCCTTGGCGATGAGGTAGTCGTCGAAGTCGTGCATGTGCTTGAACCATTCGTCGTACCTGTTGCGTCGGGTTGGTCAGTCTGCGTCGGCCCATGTGCAGAGGTCAATGTCCACGGTCACGGTCCACCCAGTTGGCCGTCGTCCTTACATGGCTAGGAACAAGTGACCCGGAGCGGGTTTGTCCAAGATGTAGGCGAGTGAGAATTTGGTGTGCTTGTACTCGCCGCCATCTGGTTCGGTCTGGTCGAGAAAGCCGGCAGCCACTGGAAGAGGACGGGGGGGCGGGGGGGGTTCAGCAGGGCTCAGAGCCATCGTGGTTTCATGCTTGCCGCCATGCTTATCGGGCTCGTCAAAGATGAAGAGAAGGCAAGATCCCTCTGGGGGGGTAATTTACTAACCAAGGACACGGCCCATACGTTCTGGCCAAATAATATGCAAGTTAGTCTCACGTCATCTTCTATAGACCAGTGGTTGTGTTGGGCCATGAGCCATGAGGGTGCTGGGTGTTGACAGAGTGGGGGAATCTACGCACCCAAAAGTGACTCCTGAACGCCAGTAGCCTTTGAGAGATCACCGAGGGATATTGAGCCGGTGGTGGGAATAGCATCGAGGACTTTGAGTCTCATGAAGGCGCGAATGGCGATCAGTTCGGCGATCTACAGGCGGGCATCAGTATTGTCAAGACATGGGACAGAACAGCATAGTCGTCCAACCGCGAGTGGCACATTGAGGTTACAACACGACAGGCTGCATCAGGCCCGAAGAGGGGGGTAACAGTCATAAAGACCATCAAAGAGGAAGGAAAGATTGTAGGGCAAGAACTCACATTGAGGCCATGATAGTTGGGCATCTGGTCCGGGGTGATGAGGGCGCGGGTGAGCTCTCTTGCCTTGGCAATGATCTGGACGCGGGACAGGTAGCCATCGAGGTCGGCGCCATCGGAGTAGGCACCGGCAGCCTGGTTGAGGCTGGTGACGAGCTGGTCGATTTCTTCCTTACTGGGGAGTGACATGTTCCACAAGTTTCGCCGTGCAGTTCACTGACGTGACGCTCTTCTGAGGAGGTTGGAAGGCAGATGATAGATCGGGGGCATGGCTGCATGGATGAGATGAGGAAACGCTGACTTTAGTCCTCGACTCCTCGGGGGGAGGGTCCCAGGGATCCCCGGACTGTCTGGGGCTGTCTGGGGCTGTCTGGGCAGCTGGGCTACAGAGCGGTCCAGCGGAGACATCCGGGAACACACCGCCGCGCATCGACCGTTACCAGCTCTAGTGCCCTGCCTAAGGGATTAGTTGCATATCCTTCCAAGGACGAGTATCCACCTACCGTGCGAAGGAACGGCGGAGTGGCTTCTTACAGGCTGCTCCATTAGGCACTACAGGCCGCTTGGTAGTGTACGGTATAATTTGCGGTCATTAACGCGGAAAAGACCATGGACCATGTACTGGTGACATGGTGGGGAACACGGCACGTATTTGTCCAAGGTACCTTACTTAAGGTAGGTTTGGGAGTCGAGCCCTGAGATCCGTCAACCCGAAAATACCTACATACAACGTACGGTGGGGAATTGACTTTCGTCCCGAGAGGAAAACAAAACAAGCGTTCGGACAAGACCCAAGTACCTGCACGTTCCATGGACACACTGAGCGGTGACTGTCCGTCCCGATCGAGGGGTCCTGCATAGGTACCTTACTGCGTTCGGTACTTCGTTCTTCGTTCTTCGTTGCGTTCTTCGTACCACTCCAGGTTGACTTGACCCTACGCCATGGTACTGGCTCGATCTGGTGTATGTACAACGTACGAAGTAGGTAATCTAATGGCTTGGCCCCTTCATCCCCGTGACAAGATGTGGTACGAGCTGGCGTATCAAAGTTACATCCACACCGTAGCGTAGACTTGTGGGTTGTTGTCTCTCCACTGATAGCGATCGAGTACTGACTGAGGGTCATGCAAGTCACTGGTACAAAGTACCTGTCGAGTCTCTGCCATGTGAGTGGATCTCTTGACTTAGTCCTTGCTTTCATTCGTCCAACTTAGGTATTACGTACATATACGAATCGCGAGTACATACAACGTACATGTACTCCGAATGCGTACTTCGGGAACCATCGTCCGGACATTCGTTTCTCCCACCATCCATCCTCTTTGACTTGATCCGGAGCCCCTTGAATCTACGGTCTAGGCCACTTATCTTGTCATTCAATACCATTCAACACCATTCCCGCCTGGTCTGTCCTCCACACTTTTAGCGATATACCACTCATCATCGTTGTCGTCTACCGCGCAGGCCCATCGAGTATCTATACTTATTATTTGTTATTTGTTCTTATTTTTATTTCATTTTTTGAAGCCCGCCTTGCGTCCAGACATCCTTACGACAAGTCGACAGACTCGATAACCATCAGGGCATTCACCATCCCCATACTCACACCAGACCGTAGACGTGCATTCTCTTGACTCGCCCCTTCATCCATGGCATCGCAGAACCCTCCCGAGTCACCTCCCTCATCTCAGGACTCACCCACATTACCCAAGTACGCCGCCCATTCTTCACCCAAGAACCCCTCCCCAAAACACAGTCACTCTTCGCCCAAGAAATCTCCCGCCCAGTCTCCCAGCGAGTCGTCGCCCCCGACAGAGAATGTGATTGAAACGGACACATCGTCGACGACGAACAGCAACATAGAGGCCGACAGCTGGACCGACGACCAGGGCTATGCCGAATCGACAAGTACGAGCTATCTGACCTCCATCGCCTCGGACATCCGGCGCGGCATCGAAGACAATGGGAGGATCTACGCCGCGTACGGTATTCACAAGCCTTGGTTACCCACGGATGATCTGGAGGTGAGTTGAAATGCTGATGTCGTCAGCTTAGTTGGCCCTCCTTAGAACGAAGAAGAAGAAATACTGACACCTCATAGCTGGACCGGAATGACTTGCAACATTACAAATTCTACCTCCTCATGAAGGAGCAATTTCACCTGGCCCCCCTAGTCGCGAATCCCCATAAGATCCTCGACCTTGGCACCGGGTCAGGCATCTGGGCTATGGACATGGCCGACAAGTACCCGTCCGCCCAAGTCATCGGCGTCGACACATCGCCCGTTCAGCCGTCCATGGTTCCGAGTAATCTCGCCTTTGAGGTAATTCGCCCGTGGAAACATGAACGACATGCATCTTGCCGACGTTTCTCGCCTCCCCCTTGCCCGTTCCCCGTTCCCCGTTCCCCGTTCCCGTTCCCCGTTCCACCGCCACGCCACGCCACTAACCCATCTCGCACCACCAAACAGCTCGACGACATCGAACACGACTGGCTCTGGCCCGAAAACAGCTTCGACTTCATCCACGGCCGCGAACTCATCATGGCCATCCGCGACTGGCCCCGCCTCATCCACCAGGCCTATTCCCGCCTCAAGCCCGGCGCCTACCTCCAGCTCGCCGGCTCCGTGCCCGACTTCCGCTCCGACGACAGCACCCTCCCGCACGACTCGGCCTACATGGAGATGGGCCGCATCTTCTTCGAAATGTCCACCCGCGCCGGCGTCTCCGGGCTCGAACCCCTCCGCTGGAAGCAGTACCTCGAAGACGCCGGCTACGAGGACGTCGTGGAGCGCGTCCTCAAGATCCCCACCAACCCGTGGCCGCGCGACCCCTACCAGAAGCGCATCGGCGCGCTGGAGCTGAGCCACTTTCGGGACACCATCGCCAACGTCTTCGCCAGGGGGTACGAGCAGATCCTGGGCGGGGATCCTACCTACTTTCAGGTTTTGCTGGCCAAGGCGCGGGGTGAGGTCTTGAATCGGCATATGCATAGCTGGGTGCCATTGTGAGTTGGGAATGCGCTGTGCCCGTTTTGACGTGTGGTCGCCAACTTGATCGCTAACCGTGTCGTCTAGTTATGTTGTATATGGGAGAAAGCCAAAAGGTTCCGCTGCCGCCTGACGACCTGAACATTGAAGCCATCTCTCTTTGAGCATAGGTATGTAGTAAAATCGCCGACAAGCGGAAAGGGGTGGTCATTTTCTATTTTGCAAGCGAGGGTGCACTGGTCATAACATTGTCTACACCAGAGCATCTGTACGAAAGCCAGAGAAGGAAGAGCTGGCTCGCTGTCTCATGTTGGTATATATACGCATCTTTCTTTTCATTTGCTTCCGGAGCTCAGTTGTCTGTCGTCGTCCGCTCTAGCCCCTGGCACCGGCAAAAGGGGTCATCTGCAGACAGCCCAGGGAATACACAGCACCTGGTATCAAACGCTCATGCCACTTCCATCCTCATTTGCATTGCCCATCTGTCAAAGTGTCTCAACAGATCCACAGAATCAATACCTAACACCAGTCCGTCGTGGCCCCGAGATCATGCCCATTCGCCGGCCTCAAAAAGTCACTCGCCTGAATCTTCCCCGAAGCCAGCCTCGGCCCCTTAACCAGCTTAACATCCGTACTCAAGAAATCCGAGTTGGACCACGAACTCCTCAGATTTCACGAGTTCCCGCTGTCGTCCACGTTGCGGTGCCTTGTCGACCCGCCCCGGTTCATGGCGGCAATGTTGTCCGTGAAGTCGGCCGTGTCCCCGGACTGCTGGAACCCGAGGCCAGGACGGCGAACGAGAGAGCGGGGCAGTTTTCCTTTTCTTTTCTTCCAAATAGTTCACAGGGGCAAGAAACCAAGTCTCAGCTATCCAACACAGTGGTCAGTGGCTGTGCAGAAGCCTGGGTTGTACAAAAAAACATTAATATCACCCCTGACCTAGAGGTCTTACTGAGAGGTCGCCCGTCGCCGGTCCGCCAAGTCTAACTGTCCAAGAGCCATCCAACACTTCACTCCAAGTATATCACTCGACAACCCGGCAAACAGCCCCCATCCAGCTCCTATCCATCATCAACCTCTGCATCGAGCCCCTGGGCAGACTGACAAGCAGCTCCAACTCCCCGGCCCCTTCCCTCTCGGGGAGAATCAGCGCCTCCCCAGCCATGAACCGAGGCCCAACCCTCCGGACCCTCTCCGCCCTGGATACCGGCACCCCCGGAATATCCCACTTGGCCTCGGCGCCCACGAACCGCCACGAACCAAACACCAAATCCGTCGCGCAGTCGGGGAAGACAGTCAACCCGATACCTCTACCCCCCTCAACCGCCTTCTCAAGAAACTTGGTTCTCGATTCAACAAAGTTCTCATCCACAGAGCGGACCGAGGTACTGATAGCCTTCATCAACTGCACGACATGTGGAACCTGTCCCCGACTCGGATCGTCAAACCCAAGGACCATCTCGGCAGGGAGCGTCGCGATGGGCCAAGCGAGCGTATTCCCAAAGTGGACGTCCCCGGCGTCGGGGTCGAGGACGCGGTACCTCCAGCAGACAGGCGTCGCGATGGTGGCCGCGCGGGACCAGGGCGGGATGGGCCCGTCGCCAAGCTCCTGGGCGAAGCGGGCCCGGGTGATGTGCGCCCAGGCTGTGGCGGCGAGGAATGTGTAGAGCGGGATGTGCGTCGCGGTGGGGCTGACCTGTCTGCCGATGAGGGTCGAGAGTGTTCTCAGTTTTTCGGTCTCGAAGACGAAGATGACGCCTACGCAAGGCTCGGCGTCGAAGGTCGTGCCATTGTATGGGGTAGAGATGCCGGCGATATCGGGGCTGGGGAGTACCTGGAGGGAATATTCGGGGCATGGATAGAGATCATGTGCCGCCGACATTCCTCGGGCGGTGATGCTGGTGGCATTGCGCTCGGTAGTAAGGGGCGGGTAGAGAAAGTTGACGGCCATCCCTGGGTCGGCCTCTAACTCTCTCGGTTGGGTTTCGGCGGCAAGCCAGTTGATCACACGGCCAAGACAGTCCTCGTCCGCCACCGTCCGGTGGAGATGGATCCAGAGCAGGAACCCTCCCTCGACGAAGGTGTACTCGATGCGCAAGACATTCGACCACCCGTCCTCCTCGGTTCTGGTTTCTTGCTCAGCCATGACGCGGTCGTTGACGAACAAGCGCTGTGGGAACCCGCGCGCTTGTAGGAGCCTGTAGCATCTCGGGACGTACGGTCCCAAGTGTTCGACCTTGAGCTCGCTGAAAGGTATGGTGTGGTCTTGGAGGAAGCGAATGCGTGTCTCGGTTCCGCCCATTCTCGCATCGCGAAAGACTCTGCAGGTGAGGAGCGGCTGCTTTGTCTCGAGCCGACGGATGGCGCTCTGAATATGCTGGATTGTCCTGGCTTTACCCTGCCAACCCGTTTCGTGATAGGGGAAACAGAGAACGGCAGATAGAGAGGAGGGCGGGGCTGCCTGGCTCCAGGCTGGTAGTCGGAAGTCCATGGTTTTGGTTTTTGTTTGGGGTGGAGATACTCTGTCTTTCTCTCTTGCGACGGGAATATCCTTGCGGTTGTTTCGCATCTTTCGGTCAAGGTACAGGCAGTTCGGAGTATTATAAACTGCCCACGAGTAGGCTGTCACAAGCACATATCGTCAAGTTGAACACGGAGCGCCGACTTGTGTCTTCATGGTGAATGGCGAGGGCCAGAGGTCAGAACATGTAGCCAGAGAGACATAATCACGGCGAAGAACAATGGCGGTTGAAACCCTTGGCCCTTGATAATTGTATGGGTTGTCGAGGTCAAGTCGACTAACAGTTGACTCATTCACGGCTCTTCGAGAACAAGTCCAAGATGAGTCGTTCCGGTGGGGACAACCAGGATCCACGAGCAGCCCCAGACGATAGATAGCTGCCTAACACCGCCAAGGCCATTCGATTGTTATTCGCGATTCGTCGGCCTACGAGTCAGAGGGCTGTGATTCGTGTATGGAGCGTCCAAGTAGGCGAAAAATCCGACATTAATCCAAGCCCTGGATTGTTCGTAGATTGGAGATGTTGTTCGAGTCTGGCGAAGCAAATGCGAACGCGAATAGAACCGACCGGTGGGAGTGGATTCCTCCAAAGGACGTTGCCGAGGCCTCGAAGGCCCCCAAATGCCGTGCCACAGCCCCTAGACCCCTTGCCCCACCCATTGAACCCGCATCGTGCGCCCTTTTGTGTTGACAAGGCGACAAGATGGGCCCCGCCTTTTGGAGTCGTGATCGTTGCAGTTGCATCGAGCTGGTGTATAAGTAAGCTCGACCGTCTCTCGTCTTCTTCCTCCCCCGTACGATCCACCATCCACCGTTCACCGCACCGTATACTGTTCCAAAGACTCGAGCACCACCATGCCGACAGCTCCCTGTACAGTCCGCCACGCACGGCGTGAGGGTACAAAGACCACTTCCTTATCACTGGGGACCGTGCTGACAGCTTGAATCCACGGCCGACCGCGGTATAGACGTCCCCACCATCCTGTCTCTGATCAAAGAGCTCGCCGAGTACGAGAAGGAGCTCTCAAGCGTCGAAGCAACCGAGGCGTCCCTCGCCCAAACGATAGCCTTCGTCCCGGACGGCTCCGACTTCTCCACCCCCGGCGGCGCGGACGCGACGACCCCGACACGGCCCGCGCGCTGCCTGCTCCTCTTCAACGAAACGGGCGCCCCGGCCGGCATGGCGCTGTATTTTTACAACTACAGCACCTGGCGGGCCCGGCACGGCATCTATCTCGAGGACCTGTTCGTGCGGCCCTCCGAGCGCAAGAAGGGCTACGGCAAGCGTTTGCTGTCCGAGTTGGCCAAGGAGACGGTAACGTCGGGCGGGGGCAGGCTCGAGTGGGTTGTGTTGAAGTGGAACGAGCCCAGCATCCGGTTTTACGGGAGTATCGGTGCCAAGTCGATGGACGATTGGGTCGGGATGCGGGTTGATGGCGACGCATTGCCGCGGTTGGCGGGGTTGGAGTAGGCAAGGCGAAAAAAGAAAGTCGAAAATTCGAGCGGTGTTCATGCGTACTGAATACTATATTCTAGACAGGCGTCGTGGGCGGATCTTGTTGTTTCGGATTCTGAGACTTTCTCGCCCTGTCGCGGCCGGGACGCGCTGGCGCCTGCACAACACTCTCCTCGCTCGTCTCGAAGAACCAAGATCGGCTCGACGGGGCAGGGAAGACGCGGGTCGGATTGCCCCAGTGGAATTTCTTGGCCTGGGTGGCCGGGTTCTGTTCCACAAAGGCGGTCGATTGCCAGAGGTGCACGTATTCGCGGCGCATATTGCGACCCGTCGGCGGTCGGGAGCGTTGGTTCTCTTGCTGCGACCAGGGACCGTCATCCTTTTCCAGGGTGAGGCGCCAGTAGGACTTCTTTTTGGGCCTCTCGAGGAGCCATACCGGCGTCGTGGCGTAGGCCGCCCAGTCCCGGGCTGTGTGTTCTTTTTCTCCTTGGCGTGTTGTTTCCGTTTCGCCTCCTCCAGCAGCGAGTGGTTGCGATTGTTGGGCCACGGGTCGACGCGGCCGGACCCTCCACTGGTCGGACGGGAGGTCTCCGCGACTGGCGGCTGCCAGGGTCTCCCACTCGGTCTTGCTCACGGGGGGCATGATCTTGTTCGCCGCGTTTTTCCACCAGTTTTCTATCCGGAGGCGGCGTCTCTTCATGGGCAGAGGCTTCCCCCAGATGTTCTCCTCGTTGGTTCCGGTGGCGGGATTGGAGTTGGTGAAGTGAGATCGAGACCAAGCGGCAGGCGAGGCAACGTCGTGGTGTCGGATCTGAGATTTGACATAGGCGAGGAGTTTAGGGGTGTCCCATTTGTCTTGGAGGCGAGGAGGCAACGGGCGACCCTTTTCGTCCGTACCGGGTCCCAGGGGCTTCGATTTGGCATCCCCTCCCTCTCCTTTCCCCTTGCCTTTCCCTTCGACAAGACCGTCAAGCTCATCCAATCGGGCTTCGAGAGCGGTTGAATCAGCGGGGGCATCATGCTGGACGAACGTGGCGAGCAGTTCCCGACGACGTTTGCCTAGGCGGCCAAAGGCGTGGCGGAGGGTGCGTCGCAGCCGGGCGACGTCACCCAGGTTGCTGGCACGGAGACCCTTGAGGTGGCGATTGCCTTGCCATATTGCCCTGCTTGAGATGTGGTTGGATTTGCGTGTAAGTTCCTGGAGAGATTCCGAGTTGTCCTTTCTTCTTCGGCCGAGGGCCTCGACTTTGCTAAGTTTGTCTCGCGTGGCACGAAAGCGTTCTCGTATGCGGGCGACGAGATAGGGTCGGCAGATCTGGGGGAAATAGGAAGCTTCGCGGAGGAGATGTCGATAGAGATGTAGTGGCTGGATGGGGCGTGAGAGGGGAATCATGGTGAGATGTTGACCACGGGTAAGGACGTGGTAAGTTGAAGTTGAGAAGTGGGAGGAGCTTCTTTCGAGCTTCTTTCGAGCATCTTCCGTCCAGAGCTAAGTACTTCGTACCTTACCGAGCTGGCTGCAGGCTGCAGGTACAACACTTTGTTTGTGTGGAAGGAATTACCGTACCTTATACGGAGCTACAGCACTGTCTTTTCGTCTTAGTAATCCTCGCGAATACCAGGCCCGTGCACTCGCTTAGCTCCACATGATCACACACCTCGCCACAGTGTGAAGTAAATTTACTCCGCAGGAAACTCAACTTTTCAAGTCTCCATCCATATAAGGTCCCGCAGCTTTTACGAAGAGGTGAGATCATTACAGTGCATATACAGTGAACGAACAGTCAAGAGTACGTACCTCTGTCTTCCACACGTTCCCACATTTCCCATTCTCCTCCTCCTCCCCTCTCTCACCCCGTGTCTTGCATCGACGCGAAAACACGCTTTTACGCTTTTTCCTCGACACGACATTGCGCGAAAGAGACACGTCGGCCACCACGCACGATTAATTGAAATTCCTATTCCAGGAAAAGGCTCCATTTCCTCTCCTTGGCGAGTTTCGTGCTCCATATGGCAACTTTTCGTCGGTCATGTCGTGCAGCACAATTCAATTGAGCTGAATGGACTGAATTGAACTGCATGTGGGCATCGTCGTCGCCTTCACTTTCACCTTCACCTTCACCGTCCTTACTCCGCTCCCGTCTCTCCTATCCGTCTGTCTTCCTTCGTCTATAGGGGTTTCAGCGGCCAATCCAAAGGGGGGCAGAGGCCATCTTCATCTCTGTTGCTCTGACGACTTTTACCGTGGGCGTCTCCCACCCCTTGAACACGTCACCTTTTTCCGATCCCCCGTCTCAAGGCTGGACGACTCCTCGAGTTCGAATTCGAACCCGATTGAATTGCAGGAAGGAGCCATAACTCCTTAGCCTAGAAGGCTCTGTGGCCTCTCTTGCCTACATACCAAGTCTCGACCTTGACCTCACTTCCTTCCTCGGCTTCCTTCATACCACGCCACAGCTTCTTGCTGTCGACCGACCCGAGTCTCCATCGGCATACCCCATACACGAGCATATGCTATCCTATATTTCCACGACGGACCATAACCTGCATCATTTCCGTCTTTCCATTCTTTCATCCTCCATCCTCCATCCTCCTTCCCTCGGAGCCCAGCCTTTCATGTCGCCATCCGTCCTGCGCCATCTCTACCGTCTCTATTCGACCTCTTCCGTCCATTCCCTCCATTCCCCATCGTCATCGCTCGGTCTCCCTTGAGTGCCGTCTGCGATCTTGTCTCCGGATTCACCCACCCTGCGCTGGTTGACGCCCATCAGCTTCTTCGCCTGTCCTCCTTATAGTCATCTGCTTTCCCATCATGATGCCCTCTGGGTCCCAGTCCCAGCCCTCGTCCCAACAATCCTTCACCATGAGCCAGCAATCCCAGACTGGCCTGGCCTCTTCAGGCTACCGCCCGTATGATACATCACGCATGCCCAACGAGGCGCCTCAGATTTATTCGGTACGTTATCCATGATATCTCAAACCAAACTGCCAAACTGTTCACCTGCTCCTTCTTCTGCTGCCTGACAATGTCGTTATGTCGACGTCGAGATCGAGATTGAGCATACCCAACTGGCCGGCCGAGTCCCGCTAATACAGATACCCCCTATAGGCCGTCTATTCCGGCGTCGACGTCTACGAAATGGAAGTTCATGGCATCGCCGTGATGCGTCGCCGAAACGACAGTTGGCTCAACGCTACCCAGATTCTCAAAGTCGCCGGCGTGGAAAAAGGCAAGCGGACCAAAATCCTGGAAAAAGAAATTCAGACGGGCGAGCACGAGAAGGTCCAGGGTGGCTATGGTAAATATCAGGGTACCTGGATCAAATTCGATCGTGGTGTCGAGGTCTGTCGCCAGTACGGCGTCGAGGAGCTCTTGCGCCCTCTCTTGACTTACGATATGGGCCAGGACGGCGGCGTGGCAGGCCGTGGTGACTTGAACACCCCGACCAAGGAGCAAGCCATGGCCGCCCAGCGCAAGCGCATGTACAACGCTGCCAACGACGCCCGCGCTAGTGGTCTCAGCGGCACCTTTTTCAAGAACATCTCCTCCACCGCCTCCCACGCCGTTGCCGCCATCAGCAAGGCCCGCTTCGAGTCCCCCGGTCCCCGCGGCCGCAACGGTCCCACACGAGCTCCCAGCTTCAGCCGCCAGTCGTCCATGACCGGCGCCAACCCCACCGGCGGCAGTCTCGACGACCTGCCGCCAAATTCCCAGCAGAGCTATATATCCGACTATGGACATCAGTCCAACCCCAGCAATTCTCAGTTTTCCACCCAGCAGTCTTTCGCCCTCTCCCACGCACATTCCCACTCCCACTCCCACTCCCATGCCCACCCGCACGCCCATGCCCAACAGGGCTATGAGACCACCGAGCCTCCAAGGAAGCGCCAGCGGACAACAATGACCCCGGCCGATAGCTTTGGCTACCATAACGCTGCTACCGACGCCCTACAGGACGCTTTCCCCGGCTCGCCCACCGAACCCAACGAATCCTTCATTTACTCGCACGCCGTCGCCGCCACGAACGCTCCTCCCCACGACGGCTACAGCCCCCTGGAGCCTCTCCGCTACGAGATAACGCCCGAAGCCGAACACAAGCGGAGCATGCTCATGGCCCTCTTTATGGACGTTGACCAAACCGCTCCCGACCCGTCCCAGTACGACGTGCTGCGGTCCCTATCCCCATCCGAGCTCGACATGCCCATCGACCACCAATACCATACCGCTCTGCATTGGGCCGCCACCCTGTCGCGCATGCCTCTGTTAAAGGCCCTGGTCAACTCTGGGGCGAATCCCTTCCGTGTCAACGCCATGGGCGAGACGGCACTGATGCGGGCTTGCGTCGTCACCAACTCCATGGACCACGGCTCCTTTCCCGACCTGCTCGAGGTCCTCGGCGGCACCATCGAGGTTCGGGATAGCAAGGGCCGCACCGTACTACACCATATCGCCATGACCAGCGCCGTCAAGGGTAGGAACGCCGCGAGCCGCTACTACCTAGAGAGTCTCCTCGAGTGGGTCGTCCGCCAGGGCAGCGTCCCGACCCCGGCCGAAAACGCGAACCAGGCCGCCAACACCGAAGCCGGCGAGGGTGGCCCGACCAGTTCGCAGTCGCAGCATCAAAAGATGGGCATCGGCCGCTTCATGACCGAGGTCGTCAACGTCCAGGATTCTTCCGGTGACACGGCTCTGAACATCGCGGCCAGGATAGGGAACCGAAGCATCATCTCCCAGCTACTCGAGGTTCATGCCGACCCCCACATCGCCAACCGTGCCGGCTTATGCCCCCTAGACTTTGGCATCGGGGATGGAGTGGCGGACGACGCAGAGGGCGAGCACAGGGGAGAACCGAACGGACCTCCCACCATTGTAAAGCCGATCAAAGGAAGCATCGAAGATGTCCTCGCATGTACGTATCATACTGACAGCCCTTCCAAGTGAGTATGGTCGTCTCGAACCCTGCTAAGCCTTTTCGTTAGCCATAACCCACCTCCTCAACGAGAGCAACCAAACCTTCCAAACCGAAATAAAAACCAGACAAGCCAACCTCGACTCCCTCCACGCCTCCCTCCGCACAGCATCCACCCAACTCAACGAAGCGCGCCGCAACCTCGACTCCCTCCAACAAACGGTCAAGCGACAACAACTCGCCCGCCAAAAAGTAGCCAACCTCTCGCACGCCCGCGAAGAAGAACAAGTCCGCCTCGCGCAGGAACAGAACCGCACGGGCCGCGACTCCGAAGCCGCCGCCTGGGAGACCGAACTCGGCGCCGTGCTCGAGGCCGCCGGCGACGGGACCACGGGCGACGACGACGCTTCCGCTGCCGGGCTGCTACCCACTGCCGCCGTGCTCAGGGCGCGCATCACTGCCGTGGGGAGTCGGAGGGATGCGACGCGTAAGATGGCCCAGGCGCTGCGGGGAAGGAGTCGGGATGTAGAGGTGCAGTATCGCCGGGTCGTGGCCATGTGCACGGGCGTCCCTGAGGCGGAGGTGGATGCCGTTGTTGATGGGCTGTTGAGGGCTGTGGAGAGCGAGAAGGGCGAGTTGGAGGTGGGGAGGGTGAGACGCTTTCTCACTGGGGTGGAAGGTGTTGTGAACTGATGCCCTCCCCTCGCTGTCTCCTTTTTTTTTTTTCTTTTTTGCATTTGCATTTGCATTTGCTTTCCCGTTCTTTTGGATCAAGAAAAAGACTATGGCTGTGGTATCAGTGGATGGGGAGAACAGTATCTCCCCTGCCAACTTGTTGGAGAGATGGGTTCGGTTCTCCCTTATGACACCATTTTGTGCAAGAGGCGCATGTGCAGGAAAGCTGTACAAAGTGTTGCAGCTGGGCGGGCAAGTCTGGACTGGGGGTTTCTGTTTGCCCAAACACAGCCGGGGTCGATGTGAAACTATCGCCATCCTTTGGTTTCGGATGAGATTTTGGGGGCGTTTTCTGGGATACGACCGCGGCACACAAGGCGTACTCGTAGAGAGACGCCTATATTAAGTGTTTATTTCTTTTTTGGCTCGATGATACCTTCTGATGGCGAATGAATTAATTCTTCTTCCGGCAACGAGGGTCCGATTATGGACGAGCAGGTTCCTTTCGGGGCAGATGCAGAGATATGTACAATTAGCATTGTAGCTGTAAATTCTCTTGGGATTTTGGTCCTTGGCCGTCATCTTTGGGCCTTGCAAGTCATGATCATGTTATGTTGGTGATGCCCAGTGAGAAGGGAAATAAAGACATGTACGCCAAAACACCTTGCAATGCTATGCTGAACCCAACCGTACATCGTATGGCCCTGGAGACCGTGACCTTGGTATGCTCCCGGAAAATTCAAAACGGTCCTCTCGACCTCTGCTTTCGAATATCGTCACTAAGAGCGGCATCCTTCACCACGTCAGTTGCCTCGCTCACGCGTACAGTCCCTGCCACTTCTTCTCCACCTCGCCGACCTGCCTCCGCACCTCCTCAATCTCCGCCTCCAACTCGTCGGCATTCCTCGTCAGGGCCGAGACTTCTTCGAACCTCCTCGCCCCCCGCGCAGCCTCGACCATCTGCCTCACCATAAACTGCTGCTCCTCCAACACGATGAGCCGCTCGCGGAGCTCCTTCTCCTCCGTCTCGAGCGCCGACACCTGCGTGCTGGCCTCGCTCTCCGCCTGGCTGGCCGTGTCGGCCGCGTGCTCCCCGTTGCGACGGAGGGGGGAAAGGGACTGCTGCTGCTGCTGCTGCGTCCAGGAGGACGAAGACGAAGACGAGGCCGACCCGTTCGAGCTCTGGTGTTGGAGGGCGAGGAGGCGGGATTGGGACGACTGCGAGGAGCGGGAGCGGAGCACGTGCGGGACGGATTTGAGGGTGAGCATGTGGGTGTGGAGGAAGGTGGAGGATGCGCTGTAGATGGCTTGCTGGAGCTTGAGTTGGGTTTTGGAGGTCGTTTTGAGGTCGCGTAGGCGACGGGCGGCGGTGTCGTATTTGGTGAAGGCGTCGACGAGACGCTTCCGGACCTTGGACGCTTCTTGGATCTGGGCATGGGTCGGCGGGGGGTGGTGCTCGTTGAACCCCTGAGAACCTTCGGGCTGGAGGGCGAGGAGGGTGCGTTGGAATACGGGCATGAGCTGACGGATACCGCGTTCAAACTGTCGGAGAGTCTCGTAGGCTCGCTGGTCGGCTGGTTTGAAGGCGAGCGAGGCAGCAAAGTCGCGCTTGGAAAATATAGTATGGTTGCACGCCCGACACATGCGGATATCAATGTTCAGCTGGCCAGATGTCGTCGGTGTCGTCGCCATGAAAGGCTTCTCTGTGGTTGAAGTTGCAGCTGTGATTCAGTTCTCAGCCTCTAATGCGCATTAATTAGACGACACATATTGACGACGCGACAACTTACAGCTTGCCACACTCAAGCCCAGTTCGGTCGAGCAAGCCGTCCGAGGGTCGGCGCAGACGACGCGGCCACAGATGCGACAGTGATGTCGCCTGAAGGTCCAGGAGCGGAACTCCTGTTGACAAAAGGGACATTGCGACACCGAAGCGTCATCTTCCCAGGTGACTACCGACTGTTCGAGGAGTTTCCGCGCATTCTTCTGGCCCGTTAAGCTGGCAACCGACAGCGTGCCGTTCGTGGCTGGCAATTCTTCGGGCGGGTTCGCGAGCAACGACGTTAACCTCGTCAGCCGCTTCTCCAGCCTAGACGTTTCCAGGTTCTGCCTCTCCACGCGCTCCCGACGCATAGCAACGAAGGCATCGGTGTGGTCAATCAACACGCCATTGTGGTCGTTGTACCCCTCGCGCGACTTGTAGCAGGTCTCGCAAACTCTGGCCCAGAAACCACGGACAGGCTCGTGTTGCGCCGATCTGGACAACTTCATCTGATACATGGTGTGCTCCTCGCAGAAGAGACGACCGCAGCTTCGACAGTTGACGCTCCCGTTGACGGGCCCCAGGCCCTTCCCGCACAATGGGTCGGTGCATCGGTCGTTTATGGTCTGGCGCTGCCAATGTGATCTCGTTATGAGTTCGTCGGGGTCTACGGGGGCTTCGACAATAGCCTTGGAGTGGGAGGGGTGCGGAGGAGGGATAGATTCGTTCGATTCGAAGACGTCGAGACCGCGGAGTTTCTGGTTGATAATGGAAAGGGGTTGGAAGCGCTTGGCCTTGCGGACCTGTTTGTCGAACCATGTCCTGACCTCATCTTGTTCGACTTCGGCCAATTCTTGGTGGGCGTCGTCGATGTGTCTGGATAGGGAAGAATTAGACGACTAGGCCTGGAATCTGCCTCTGTTTTTTTGGGCCGCTGCTCACCTATTCAGTTGAAGCAACGTCAACTGAGGAGGTGGATTGTCCGTGTTAGCTAGGCTTGGAGGAATAAAGGACCACTCCCTCTGAACACTGGTGGCTCAACGTACCATCTCTTCCTCGCATATTGGGCAGATCAATTTCGTACTAGACGCCTCGGGTAAAGATGGATTGTCCAGGCTTATCCTGGAGGTCAAATCCTGGGCGACAAATTCGGGTGCCTGGTTCGAAACCGGAGGGGAGGCTGATGACGAGTTTATGGACAGGGTGCTATCGGAGGGGGCGATGGGACTGGGTGCTCGCTGGGGGGCGGCGGACGGTACCGGGGGAGCGAGGCCTTTGCCGCTGCCGAGAATACGGCCGCCGCCCAGCTTGCGACTGGACATGACGGAAGACGATGAAGAGAAATAAGGAGTCGATCAGAGGTGGTCGGTGTGAAAGAAACGGCGGGGAGGGGGGGTATCTAGGAGCTCATTCGGTCGTTCGAACTTGAGGCAGAGAACAGACAAAAAGGGACGAGGGCGATGATATCAGGTCACATAAGTAAAATTCGAGGCAAAGGAGAATCAAAGATGTGTTGTTGGTATAGTTGAGAAAGTGGGAGATCCAAGGGAAGACCGCAAGGCTGCGGCTGCGGCGGATGCAGGAGGAAGAAGCAGTGAAGCAGGGAACTGGACCAGGGATTCGGGAGCTCAATGGATGGTTCACCGACGGCGGGGCCCCACTTTGGGTTGTTGGTCGTTGGTGGTACACGAGTACTCAGTACATGTCCATGCACCCATCTGTTGTACTACGTTCAATTGGTGTAGTAGAGGGATACTTCCTTCGAGCAAAAATCCGAATAATTGAAACAAGTTTCTGCGTATCAATCTTCTCTTAGTGGGGTACAGTACTCTGTACTTCCATCATCCACCCATCTGACCGGTGAGACAAGATACCAAAGGAAGCGGGGGAAATGCCATGAACATCCGCCAATTCTTATCTTATCTCTCTATCTTATCATTACCATAGCTCTTCAGAAAAGCGGGTGCCCTTGGGGTCTTTCTTCTTCGTCATCCTCTTTGTTCGTCTTTCCTCGTCCGCCTCATTCCTCGCATTTGTCCATGATACAACCAAGATGGCCGAATCATCGAGGAAGTTTCCCGAAATCCAGGGAGGTGGCAGCTTAATGATCGCTTGGCAGATCAAGGGCAAAAACGTGTTGGTCGTTGGTGGAGGAGAGGTAGGCCTATTCTCCCATTCTTCCCCTCCGTGTCTTCGGCGTCAAAGGACTGACTGGAAGGTAACTTGATCATTGCTCCTCTCTATCCAGGTAGCCGCAGGGAGAATCTTGCACGTCCTCAACGCCGATGCCAACGTCACTGTCGTATGCCCCGCCTCGGGCCTCAATCCCGAAGTCTCCCACCGCGTCTCTCGGGGTCAGGTGAAGCATGTCGACCGCCTCTTCGAACCTTCCGACTTGGACACCGCCGATATGGTCCTCGTAGCCGTCGATGACCCTGCGGCCTCGACCGTGATTTGGAAACTATGCAAGGAGCGGCGGATCCCCGCCAATATTGCCGATGTACCCCCGGAATGCGATTTCTACTTTGGCAGCGTGCACCGCGACGGGCCATTGCAGATTATGGTCAGCACCAACGGGAAAGGTCCCCGTCTGGCCGCCCTGATCAGGCGGTATATTGCAAAGACGCTGCCCAAGAATGCCGGGAATGCCATCGAGGCCATTGGTGAGCTGAGGCAGAGGCTGCGGAAGATAGCCCCGGCACCCGAAGAGAGCCCCCAGCGCATGGCATGGTACGTTCTCCCTTCATCACCTTCTGCCTTCACCGCTGCTCTTTTCCTTGGCCCATCAAGACAAGCTATCCTGGGTTAAGCTGACACGAGCTACATCTTCAGGATGACCAAAGTCAGCAACACATTCGAATGGGACCAGATGTGCGAGCTCACCGACGAGGACATGAACAACATTCTCACCTTTTACTCCGACAACAAAGTTCCTTCCCTTGATGAGCTGAAGGCTATGAGGCGTGACTCTGGGCAGCCAAAGTCCGAACTCTTCGACGGATCCTTCGGCTTCAGTGTCGGTGCATGAGCGACGATGAGGTATCAATGTCTTTGGTGCACCCACTACGGCTATGAATGGACGGCCCTGTCGAGGACAGCAACCAGGCTGCTGAGCTGAGACACATATTTAACGTCCTTACCCTCTACCGGGTCTGGAGAGCCGTCATCTCCAAGCGGAAATGAGCATTCTTCCGACGTACAGCAGCTCTGGGCAAGACTTGGTCTGGTCCTTCGGGGTATGCATAGAATTCGTTCCCCCTTCCATCGGAATCTACAAATACCTCGCCTCAGCACGTCCCTGGGGTGTACGATACCGTCTGTCGTACATATTCTAGTCGAGTACGACTTTGGGTCTTGTCCCATGGATTCGGATGAACCATGTGGAGAACGGCGTGCCCGTGAGCTTTCTGGGAGAGTCCTCTTGGCATAGCCAAGGGTTACCCCTGAGAAGCCGTCTCAATTCTGGCGGGAAATATGTCGACTATGTACGACTCGAATCTATTTTCGCAGAAAAGTTTTATATAACTACCAAATAAGCCAGGCCAGTTGCTTCTTCCGTCTCGACTTTTCTCTCCTATCTCCTCTGCCCCTTGTTCCCTGTTCCCTATCCTTGACGTCTTTGTTGTCCGGCTCCGGTATCTCAACAACCTCCCCCTTCGTTGCGCTCCTTTGTCCCCTTCATATTCAACGTCCTACCTGCATGAGGTGCTCTGCCTCTGTTCATTGTGTCAAGTCCTCCGGCTTCGACCCACCCGACGTGCCCTTCGACAGTTCGACCATTCCTCTGGCCTGTGACAAAGAAATCGACCAAAGACGGCGGAACAGTTTTTCAAGAAAGGGAGCAAACATGCCATACGTCTTCTCTTTTCCAGATACTCAACTATTCATTTCGCCCGCTTATCTACCGGTCAAGTTGATTCTGTTTTTTTTTTTCCTTTTTTTTTCTCGTGCTTCCCAACCCTCAGAAGCAATCTGTGGTTTGACAATACGTCGATCATTGCGCACTGAGAAGATTCACGACCCATCCACACCCAGCCTGCATGACAGCGGCCTTTTCGCAGACGGAACATCGGCCTCCACTCAGTCAGGTACCATGCCGAAAGGAAAAGGGTCGAAAAAGTCGAAGAAGGGCAAAGGCCTTTCAGGACCACCCCAGGGACAGCAATCCACCCCTGACGTCTGGCCCGGCTCGGACGATGTTTTCTGGCTCGGCAAACCCAGGTTGCAACCTGAAAATGTAGAAGCAACGGCCGCCAGAGGCATCAACCGATTCAGGCCCCTCCCGCCCGGGGCGGCAAGGTGGTCGACGTACCAGGACCAACGCGAAGGGTGCGAGCCGTTTCTCAAGAGCTTGGGCTATGGCCAACAGTTTCCAATGCCGCCGCTTGAAGACCCGGATGCCGAAGCAAACCTCGATTTGGTCTGCGGCGAAGCCGACTTCCATGCGCGCCGCCTATTCATCGAGTGGAACTCCCTCCGTCGAAAAGTCGGGGGTCTTGACTGTGCTGTCCTCCGCAACGCCGTCGACCACCTATTCAAGAAACCCCGCCGTGACAGGCAATCTTTCTTCGAAGACTGCTGGGAGGCAACATTGCGCAATTTCATCGACCTGCCCGAAACGGCGTCGCGAGGGCGGCTGGCCCGCATCGACAGGCAAGACATTGCCCACTTGCTGAACCACCTCGACCACGTCGACCGGAGCCGGATACCAAGAGACGAGTCCGGCCCGGAAAGGGATCTACACTGGCCGCGCCTCAAGGCCCCTCACGTCTTCCAGGACGAGGGGAACCAATATGAGAAGCTCAACTTCGAACTCTTCTTCCACTTCCTCATGCCCCGGATATGCCAGGAAAACTTGAACGACCCGCGGCTGTTCATCAACCTCCTCGTATCTCGGGGCCGGCACCACCCAGCCAACTTCACGAGGCGGGACATGCAGGAGTCGTGGTGCGGATGGGCCACTCGGTGGTTTTCCACTTTCACTTTCTTGCCCGACGTGGCCGTGTCTTTGGATGTTCCGGACTTTGAGTACAGCGAGGGCGACCACGAGAGGATGTTTCTCCAAACCCACCTCGGTCCGAACTTGCAGCATAACTACCGCAAGCTTTTGTACGAGAAGGAGGCGAAAACTGCCCAGTTCGACTGGCAACGCGGACGCGGCTTCCCCTTCAGGGTCGGCTTTGCCTGCTTATATATGCAGCATGTCATTGTCCGATTCCTGAACGTGGTTTCGGACGCGGCGACGATGCAGTGGGCATCCGACATCCGGGAACTACCCATGTCCCAACCAGTCTGGCGCATCGAGGGCCTCCCGGACTATAGAGACGAGTTCATCAACATCCAGGGGTGGGGTCACGTGGGGATGGTTCCGGACTTGAAGAATGCCGAAAGCATCCAGAAGTCGAGGCTTCGGGATTTCTCCTCGCCCCAATGGTCGGATATGCGACTCTGGAGCAAGCATTTCCGAGCTCGCGCCGACGAGGCTCTCCTCCACCTCAAGCGATTGATGCACCACACCGACTACTTCCTCGAACAGGTCGACATGGTTCTCGATCACCACCACGGCCGGGTCGTCGATGTCGACGGACAAACGCTGCCATGCTTCCTGGAAGAGACCAGTAAATTGACCCGGGGAAATCTCATCTTCGACGTTGTCGGGCGGATCTTCTGGCGGGCCCTCCTCGACCTAGAAGCCCACGCTACTCTCGCCATCGAGTGCTCCACATTGAAGACAGACCTCGTTCCCTTCCACAGCTCCACGGATGGCTTAATCGAGTCCATACGGCCCTGGCACGACGTGTCGGAGGCCGACAACCTCGACGATCAGCTAGACGTCCTACTCTGGCTCAACACTCACGTTCGGTGGCTGGCCGACTACTACTGGCGCGAGATTTGCGATCGGGGCATCTGGGTAGCTGGCCCCCATGCGCGGGAACACTTCTTCAGGGAGACACCCAATCCGGGCGAGGCAGACCTGCCGCAGAACCCAGGAGAGCACGGTGTCCGCTTTCGACTTCAAGATGCCGCCTTCTTCGACGACGTGTTTCCGGGAAGCGAGATGGACAGCCAAGAGGTCGCTACGAACCAGGTGTCGCTCGACTATGAGGAGCAACTAGAGCGCGCGCATAAGGTCGTGGGAGCGCACATATTCAAGCTCCTGGGGGACAAGAGGGCCTTGGGGTTTGCCGGGCTGGCCAGCGTGGTCGAATCAATGGCACCCATGGTGCAGCCCCTGCTGGACGCGGGATACTTGTCCAGCTGGGTGGTCGATCCGCTGAACACCATGTACTGGTGCGCCCGGCTGGAGGAAGAAGTGGACTTGTTCCAAGACGTGACGGACGACTTGACTTCCCGCCAGGCCGACGGCGACAAGGACTTGTCTCTCTACGAAGACAGCAAGACACTGACGAGCCTCCGTGCCCTCGAGAAGATGCCCATCCTCGACAAGGACGTGGTCGGCGGCCACCATCTCCTCTCCCTCCTCCAGCGGGACGGCGGTCCGGACGAGACGGAGCAACAAGCGCGAAGGAGGAGGATGGACCAGAAAGCCGCCATCAAGAAAGCGTGGCTCGGCTTCGTGGCGCGGCTGACGGGGAAGAAACGGTCCAAGCTGGAGGCGTACAATTTCAAAGACAACATGTTCGACGTCGAAGAGGTTGGGACGCTACCCCCCGCGTTCGCCAAGCAGTGGCACGAGATCTTCGACCCTTGGTCGGCGGTGGCGGTCGATAGGGAAACCTCCTCCTCCTCCTCCTGGGCTTATAGCCGCGATTACGACGGCGACGACGACGAAGACGACAAACCGCCGCCGAAACCCCAACTTTACGTACCGCCGCCCAAACCGGCGCCGCAGACGCAGACGCCTCCGCGCCAGGCGAGTCCCCCGAGTCCCCCGAAGATCACGACGTCGCCGTCGCTGAAACCGGTGCACGGGCGACAGAGGGGCGACCTCGAGCAGAAACAAGCGCAGCGGCTGACGAAAGCGGAGCGGAACAGGGCGTTCCTGGAGGAGTTCCCGCCGCCGGCGGCGCCCGCGCCCCCTCCGCCCGCGAAACCGGCCCTGCCGCTGGAAGTGTGGAACACGCTGGACGAACTGTTCGGGGGGAAGAGGAACGTCAGCGTGAACGACATGGCGGCTGCGTTCGGGCACCTCGGGCTGAAGGGGGAGATGGGGGTGGGGTATAAGTTTGATTTTACGGAGAGGACGCTGTTTCCGCGGCCCAAGGACGCTTGTCTTCTGCCTTTGACGTTTCATTTCCCGGAACACCTGAAGACGAATCAGTCTATCAATCGGACGCAGATCGTTTGGGCCATTGGGAAGAGGCTGTATAAGACGGGGATCACGCAGAAGGGGTTGGAGGAGACGTATTCGGGGTGTCCCGGGTGGTCGAAGCCGAAGTGGTTTGGGAGTCCGGGAGGGGACGGGGAGGGAGGGGAGGGAGGGGAGGGAGGGGATGGAGGTGCGGCCGGGGAGGCTGGGGCTTAAGTGGCCGGAAGGGTATTCGTATTCATTTGTAGTGGCTGCTCGTGTGTGTATTTCCTGATTCGAGGAGGGCTATGTGAAGTTCTCGTGCGGCTGTTATTGTTGCTGTGAGTTCTCTGGGATATTTTTGATATGCAAAGAGCACCTGTCTGTCTTCAATGTTGTGTATAAAATTCGAAACGAGTAACTTTTCGCTGGAACATGAAGTAATAATGGCACGGATAGAATTTATAAGTCGTCGGGCGAGCCGGCTGATCATGGTAAGGCTATCAGATATATCCTCGGTAGATCTTACAGCGGAGAACTACTAATGCACTTAGTGGACTGCGTCTATCTTCGTCCAAATGTCTATGAGGCTATTATAGTTAAGGAACCCTATGCAGGATAGTGACTTCACCGTAAAGCTTTGCCAGTCGATCAAGCCATAAGCATTAGTAGAAACACCCGTACGCTATCGTATAGTCTCGTATAATTATATACGCTAGTAGCAGGATAAGCCGTAAGCTTATGATTATTCGTGAACACCACTCATAAATACTCTATTTTCAAAATAGGGCGCATAAACTCGCCCTATTTACTTGACTACTATGACGGAAATATTTACGTGTATATTTAATTATTGTCATATATTCTATCACTAGGTATTACTATTCATCATCCACTTCTCGTCCACTGTGTCTCGGCCGCTGTCTTCCAGCATCAGTGATGCTCCCCCTGCCGTCCCCTGTTCCCCGCCAACGACGCCAACGACACTCGCGCTGATCCACTTTATTTGTCGATAGAGATGGCTTCCTGCCCTCCTTTTCAGGACTATCAGGTCGGCCAGGTTTTGACCTTAAGCGTTATTCCCAAGCACGGCAAAAACTGCGCAGCCTCGACAATCCGTGCACGAATTCGGAAGCTCCAGTATCCCCGTACGCTTTCACGCTGTATGATCGTGGACCTTCTGGGCGAAGATTATCCCGATCATCCGGTGTTTCTAAAGCTTTACGACAGTCGCTTCTCGGAGCAACTTCGGAGCGATAATGGAATCGACCCGTGGACGAGGGATGCGGAAAAAGAGTACATCGACGCTGTCGAGACAGGCGCAGCGCGCCAATTTATTCACAATCTCCGCACTATCCCCGATTTTGAGGAGGGCATAGAGACTTGGGACGACGGCCAGCTCGAAACGTATCTAACTAACGAAGTTCATAAACTCTTCGACGCGGAGACTACCGCGTACGATGCCCTTCGTGACATCCAGGGAAAGCTGGTTCCCCGTCTCATAGCACGCGTCCATCTCGCCCTCTCGCTCCCGAACGTCGTCTGTATGAGTCGCACCGACGCCGCCGAACTGCTCCATATTAAGGGAATCTTGCTTCAGTATGTCGACGGTTTTCCCCTATCGGAGGTGCAAGATCATGCGCCCCAATCCGAATGGCAAGGCATCGTCGATCAAGCCGTCGCCATCGTCCAGGCGGTCGGCGACCACGGCATCCTTAATACAGACGTTAGACCCGACAGCTTTATGGTCCAGCGTGACAGGAGCGGTTGTTACCGGGTGTTCATGATTGACTTTGGTATGACTCGCCTGCGAGGCTGGAACGAGTCGGACCGCGATTGGGGCAAAGCCAAGCTGTACAGGGACGAGGAGGGAGCGGTCGGATTCGTGATGAAGAAGCGGCTTGCCAGAGAAGGCTTTGAGCTCCGATATGAGTATGTGGACAGGTATAGGGAATGGGCTAGTGATGATGAGGAATGAGCGGATCTGTCCGCTCAGAATAGAGTGAACCATCGGACTCGAGGCCGAATGTCGAGGCTGCCAATCAACGACGAGTCGACGACGACTCTTCTTCGCTGGCCCTAGTGCACCTAATACGTAGTAATTCTAGTCAAGACATCATCTTTTTAATTTGTGCCATCTCGTCTTGTGATCGTTGCGAATCGTAGGGCAAGCTGGATCGAATAGCTAGCTCTCCAACTTTCGCCAGATAATCTCAGGCTACGATTAATGCAGTAGGACATAGGTGGCTGGCTCTCTCGTGCAAGGTATGAGATGGAAGGGTGTAAGTTGGAACCACGCTGTGAGCAGTCGGGTAGAGGGAAGACGTGGCTTCTATTCATTTACTTACCCCTACCTTATATTAGTAAGCACGGAGGCGGATTAAGTAGAGTACCGGATCTTACGGGTACCTAGCTACTGTAAGGTACCTTAAGCTGGGTTTTCTGTGAGTCCACGGTCGCGTTCCTCATGTTGCACTTGAAATCTCACCTGCCAGACCTTCTACTCATCTCCCCAACATCGTCCCAATGCACTAAAGCCGTCCGGCCCTCCGAGCAAGCGTCTTTCGACGGCCATGCGAATGGATGCTTCGCTCTAACCGATCCTCGACGAGTCCCCACGACACGATCCCCGTACCATAGTGCCCAGCACCGCATATCAAACATTGAAGCTGAAGATGCCTCCTCGCCAACGTGACCGCCCTTCCAACCTGGGACCCTTCCCCTTCCCGTCCTCCCCCGGGTCGTCAGCTCCCCGGCGAAGCGACATATCCATCGACCCCCTCGAGGCGACCCCTCCCTTCTTCGACGTCTCCTTCTCCCCACACCGCGCCTCGCCCCTGCACATCGGCAACGAACCCCTCACCACGCCGCGCCTCAACACCCTCGCCCAGCAATTCCGCAACCTCCTCGTCGGCGACGTCGTCCGCGGCGTCCAGGTCGGCCTCGAAGGCGGCAGCACCGACCCGTCCCTCGCACGCGCCGGGTCGCTCGAGTACGTGTCGATACGCTGGTTCGACGTCGCAGCCCTGCTGGCACGGGGTCGGGACGATGCAGCAGCAGCAGCAGCAGCAGCCCACGACGCGGACCGGACGGGCGACACCTCGTTCTCGGAGCTACGGTTCGTGGCGACGCGGAAGAAGGGACTGTGCATCGATATCGAGTACGAGAATATACTCTACGAAGCGCTGCTGCTGCCGACGTTGGACGAGGGCCACGATACACCGCGGGGGAGGCTAGACGGGCCGTTTGATGGGGTGCACCACCCGCTCCGAGCGCCCGGGTCGCTTGCGGTCGATGCGAGGGTCAAGTCGGAGGAGTTTTTGCGCTTGCCGCTCCTGCTCCTGCGGATGCCGGCGTCGCTCAAGACGTTCGTGACGGACTTTTTGGCCAGGACGTTTGATTGTCGCATTTCGCCGCTGCCGCTCGGCACACGGTCCATCGTGAGCGCTTGGGAGACGTGGATCTCCAACGCCGGGTTGCCGAGCAGCGGGCCGTTGGCGAAGGATGTCGCCCTGACGCTGGGATTCTACGTGCCGGGACTACGAGAGAGAGGGGCGGCCGAAGCAAACGGGGAGGATGCCGATTCTTCTGCCACGGCCACGACACGGTTGGGAATTAGGTCGCTGGATATCATCATCCCGGCTGCCGACTTGGCGCGGTTTCTCCGAGAAGGCCAGACTGCGTCTGTCGGGCATCGGAGGGCGGGGGAGGGGCAGGACAACTATTGGAAAGACGACGCGCGGAAACGAAGGAAACTCGCTGGCGGGAGCAGCGAAGAGGGTTGGGAATGGCTGGGTGCCGCATCGGGTGACAGGGGCGGCGACGTGGGAAGCAAGAATCCTTTCACCGAGGCGCTGGCACGATACCTGGACCAGCACCTCGCCCTTGATCTATTTCACCCCGGTGTCCAGATCGCCAAGATCGCCTGCGCCGGGTTCGCGCTGTCGGAGACCCGCATCAAGATTTTCTCGCACGCCTTGGGCAAGGGGAGCGAGCCCGGTGCGCCTGTGGCCGTCCAGCAGTTGGTGTCTGATTTGGTTGGGTGGGCCGTCAGGTGAGGTCATGGTTTGACGATGTGACGATGTGACGATGCGGCGATGCGACGATGCGACGATGCGTCCGCTTAATGACTTGAGAAAGAAAACCATGATACCCTTTGCATTGACGATTAGACCACTGAACTCTTCTCATTACGTCGATTTCCCGATATACCTATGTATTGTTTCGTCCTGTCGTGGCGGTCGTACCGCTGATCATATCCCTTATGGTCCTTCCTCTGTCACATTCTCATCACCAACCTCTCTCCCTTTTTTTCCCCCTCTTCCCGCCTCAATTCTGTTGCAGAAAGTCAATGGCCAACGGCGCAAAGACAAAAGTAGGGAATGTCCGGTCCAACGTGTCTGCCCTCTTGCGGCACTGGCACCACCCATCACACGGTGGATTTATACCGAGTAGTGCTGACAAGAGGCTTCAGTCTCCCTGGACGACTTTCTACGCATAAGCACATGCACGATCAAGAAGTTGTATGACGTTATCCTTTGCCCTTTTGGGATGGGGCTCTGACAGAAGCCAAGCCCTTCGGCTTCTCGGCGTTTCCACCCCGGCCACTAACAGTCTTCAAGGGCAAGACGATGAATAATAACTGCATTGCCCACCGTGACTTGGAGATCCTTGGCCATTCGTTCATCGATTTATAAAGTCGAAAACTGGTCATCTGCAGTGTCGTGGCTGTCTCAACCTTCTGTCTTCCTCCAGAAGTGCCCTCGATCATCCTGTCTTGCTCTTACACAGTCTTCATCTTCCCATCAAAACTGCGCATCACTCTCCTACTGCAAAAACTGAACCGCTTTACCCAACGGTGCAACATCGTGTTAGTATTATTAAGATCACGACAAACACAGTTGAGCGCTTCACTTATCGAAAGAATGGCCGACGTCAACCCACCCCCCGATGCTCAGTCACCTCAAGATGGCTTCTATGCCCTCCAGAACATGCAATCCGACCAATACCGCCGTCATGTCATTGCGACCGTGGCCCTCATAGCCATCGCAGCCATCCTCATCCTAGGCTTTTCCGGCCTCGCATGGGCCACCCTCCTTCGTCGCTCTGATCCCGCTCGCAAGGCCGTCTCCTGGATCAAGGCGTCTTTTGCCCTCCTCACATTGTGCGTTTTGTTTCTTCTTTCTTTCTTCTTGTCTCCCAAGATCCTTGCCATACAACTAAAACGGGCTGACCATTCGAAAGGGCCATTCTGTGCGCACTGACGACCTATTCCATCACCCTCGCTTTCCTCGAAACAGACAACTTCACAGACGACGCCACCCCGCGTGACCTCAACCGCGCGGCCGCCCACGTCGAACTCCTCTGGGAACTCTTCGACCACTGGGCCCGGGCCGCCATCCTCGTCGGCCTCGTCAACCTCGCCGCCGGCATCCACCGTGTCTCCCGCAACGGCTCGGCTTTGTGGCACCGGCCCGTCCGCTGGCTCACCACCTTCATGGCATTTGTCATCTTTGCCGTCTCGGCTGCTTACTATGGCTATTCCGTCAACTTGATCGTTTGGCTCCAGGGGCTCGGCGGGACGGGGGCGGGGGATTTCCAGACGCAGGACCAGCTGGCTACGGCGACGAGCATTATTATTTGGATCACATCGCTTGGTGTCGGTGCCGTGTCGATTTTTTCGTGGATGTTTTCGACTGGATACCGTTCGGTGGGTGATGTGCCTCCTTTTTCTGTTTCCTCTCTCCTTTTTTTTTTTTTTTTTTTTTGCCCTTCTTTCGTCGTAAGGGGCTCAATCTTCTCAACTGCACATGCTAACATCTGTTTTCTTCTTACAGCTCTCCTCTCTCTTGGTTTTTGCCAACTTCCTGAACCTCATCGGCACTACGTGGAACATGGTCTTCCACATCCGCTACAGGCTCCAGGGCCACACGCCTCCTTTGTACGTCGGTATTCTGCACGCCATTCTGGCCATGTGGACTTTTGTCGCGGTCCTCGTCCTCGCCTGGTGGATTCTTGTCCGTAAGGCTGGAGGTATCTGGTCAACCGGCCGGTACGGGAGGAAGGACGTAGAGGCGCGCCGTTACTAGCTGTGCCAACCATACCCATGTTATAAGCCGTGTTTTTCTGCTATTATGTGTAAATCTGTATCATTACTCTCGTGTATATATTAGTTTTTTCGATGCAGCTGTCTTATGAGACTTGCAGACTTTCGTTCCATGGCCGCCAAAACTGGTTGCCCCAGTTAGGCATACACTTGATCTTCCCAGGTGGCTCGGGGATCCAGTCGATGAGGACCCTATCCTCCGCCTGCCCGCGAACCGCGTCCGAGGTATACCCCTTCAGCCGCTTAATCTTCTCCGCCTTCCCATCCGAGTACTCCAAATTCACCGCCGGCACAACAGCGATCTTCCCATACCCCCTAGCCCACAAGTCCTTACAAAACATCTGCGGCTCGCCCTGCGCGCACTCCCCCTCCCGACCCCCCCCCGGAACCGAAGACCGTCTTCCGCCATCAGCGGCGCAGCACCAAACGCCACCGCGCCGTTCCAGCAAGAAAAGACCTGGAAGGGGAGCCGGGCGTCATACCTCGCCTTCGTTTCGGGGGCATCCCAGAACAGGTTCCAGGCCGCGTTCCAGTAGCCGTCGGGCGGGATCGCGAAGAAGGAGTCCCCGTTCATGCCGCGCGCCAGCCAGACGTCGTAGAAGGTCGGGTCGGGGCCGACGTAGGTCCAGTCCATGGCGCAGGTCATGTCGGCGCCGAGGGCGCGGCGCGCGAGGGCGAGTTCGAGGAGGTCTTCGGCGCAGGCGGCTACGTCGTTGATGAAGAGGACCGTCGTGGCTGCGGAGGTGCGGTTTTTGGTTTCGTCGTTGAACAGGGGGTGTAAGGCGAGGTTGCGCAGCTGGGCTAGTTTGCGGATTCGGTCGCCCTTTGCGGGGTTGATGTCTGAGGATTCGTAAAAGTAGGAGAAGCCCAGTTGTTCCAGGAAGGGGCTTAGGGCTTGGAGGACGTCGGCTGTGCCGTCCGGCGAGTTGCCCTCGACTATTGACAGGGCACAGCGTTCCGGTCCCAAGAATCGGATCGCTTCGACGATGCTGCCTAGGAGGCGAGGGAGGAGTGGTAAGCAGTTGCGCAGATCAAGCGCAAAGTAGTAATCAATATGCCCCGACTCCGAGGCCGAGGCGTCGCCCATGTCTTTTAATACATCGTATCGGCTAGCGTTCAACGCGGGACACTCGAGGCGAGGCAGTTCGGTCGAAGAGGGGTCGAGTATAGCGGAGATATAGGGCTGGATGCGCTTGGCTGGGAGGACAGTTCCTTGATCAACGACCACCATGTCAGTTTTGTTGTCGTTCCGATATGGGGGGTAGGGAAGAGATACTAACCGTTCGCAATGGTTACATGTATGGATTGCGGATGTGCGGTTGCTGAGGGTTGTGGGCTGTCACGGCTCTGGGTAGGCTCTGAAGCGTTGGCACCGCCAGCAGTGCTCAATGTAGACACTGGTCCCGTCGCCGACACGATAGTCTCTGATGGGACCTCTGCATCTTCCACCGTGGTTTCATCCAGGAACGGTATGTGCAGTTTGGGGAGCCGAGTAAGATGATCGTGGCCGAGATAGAGACTTGTGGCCACCAGCAAGATGCACACCGTCGGCACTAACAGTAACAATAACTTGCGGTGCATAGTGACGGAAACGAGTCCATCACAAGTGCCGCATCGTCTCGCGGCAGGCTCCTGGGGGTGAAGATGAAGACGCAACAGCGCTGGAACCACGAATAGACGCGAAGATGGTCATGGTCATGGGTAGAGGGAGTGAAGGGAGAGGTTGAATCAGAGTCTTATCAAGACGCGAGCGAAGAGGCCACTGGACGACAGGGGGGGCAGGGATATGGAAATTAGCGCCAAGAGCAGCAGTGGGGCAGCGGCAAGAACGCCGGGATCTGCGGAAGCTAAAAATATGAATGGCCCGTTCCGGAGCCACGTGCCCCGCCCGGGTCCGCACCCGATAGAGCCGGTATCCTTAGTGCTCCGCCGTAGTTTTTAATGGAATTTGGTTATTTTCACGTCGTAATTATGATCCTACTCAGGGAACTTTCTATTTTTATTTTACTTGTTTGTTCATTGCTTTTCCAATCTTTTGAAAAAGTCTACTAATAGGTAATAATTACGGAATAGCAACAATGGTGTTAGTACTAAGCGGCATGGGAAATAAGCGCCAGGCTACGCTCTCAGATGTCACCAATTTACCGGCAGTCTGGATCTGCTACCAAATCGGCCAATCTCGTTTCTTTAGCAGTCGCCTTGAGCCTGTTACTCCTGTCTCTTACTCCACACAGCGGTCCATTTTGTCTCTTTTCTCTTTTCTCTTACCACAAACGACCAACTGACAACACTTCGGTAGTATTTCAAGCCCAATCAGACCCCTAACTTCATGTTTAATCAATATGCCTGGCCATGTTGTCCATCCGGGAAGCAGGCCAAGAACGAGGAGAAGAAGAGGAAAGAAGTCTAGGAAGAAGTCCGCCGTGGGTTGAGACGATATAACCATGACTGACTGATATACGGAGCAGAGAGCCGGCGTTTCTGTTCTGAATCTTCAAACTGTTCTCTCTGTTCTCTGGCCAACATATTAGAGCGTGGTAGTGCCACGAAGTTCAACCTTCAGCCCTTTGCTCCCTTTCTGCTGGTCAGAGGAACGATGAATAGCAGTAGCCATGGGTTCTACGGACATACTTCTTCTATTTTGGATGATATTGCTTCTCAACATTGACCCATGCTCCTGTGGCTTTATCCCACGGCCTTTCGTCTCCGTTCTTACATCACGATTTCAACTCGGCTCTGCACACACTGGACTGAATCATACCAATTTCAACGACACCCAGCCTCAAATAAGGGAACGTGCTATTACCACCGAGCTTTCGACCTGCGGCTACTTGAACGGAAACCCAGATCTCATAAGGACCGCCGACCCTGGCTATAACTGCCGCATCGACACGCGAAATGGACTCTGGGGCTTCTGTCCCACCTCCGTCATTTCCGCTGCAGACTGCGGGCTAGCCGGCAGTTGTGTGGACAGTCACCGTTGCTCCGGGGGCTGCGGTGCCACAGATCGAGCAGATTTAACTACTTTTACCTGGTCCGTATCTCCACCGTGGCCTGTGTTTCCGATGATTGTCTTGAATGTCGTCTTGAACATCGCTTTGCTTTTCCTTCGCTGACAGTGAGACACCTACGACAGTCGCGACAACTTCTGCTCGACAGCGCTTCTTACATTCGGCATCGATCAGACCTACGCCTACATCGCCTGCGATGCGAAGTTCGGGACCGACTATTATCATATCACGCCGGTCGCTCAAGCTGTGACTACTACCTCAACTCCTGAACCTGTTACGACCTCCACTTCGGAACCTGAACCTGGGAGCGGGAGGTCTTCTCAGGAGCCCTCGAGCCAACCACCAAGAAACTCGTCCCCGAGACGTTTGTCCTCAGTGGGGGGCGCTTCCACATACAGTCACTCAGAGGCCACAACACAAAGCAGTCAGCAGGTGGTGTCGAATCGAAGCCCAACATCGGCAGAGAGCGCACATGATACAAATACAGAAGCAGAGGTCCCGGGAAACTCAGGAGAGGATCCTTCAGAAGATTCATCGCCGTCGCCAATCCAGCTAGGGGCTATAATTGGCGGGGCCATCGGGGGACTGGCTCTAATTTGTGCCACCACCATTGCTGTTATCTATTTGCTACGGAGGAACCATTCTTCTCGGTCTGATACCCAGCCGGAAGTGGAACAGACTCCAACCTACACTGAAGACTTCCCCTCGGGCGGCTCCAATATGCAGGTATATAAAACTTTAGGGCCTCAGGAGCTGGATGATAGGGAACCGCAAGAACTTCCTGGGGACTACCGCAACCATGGTTCAAGATATGTGGCTGAGCTAGAGTCTTGATTGCGTTATAATGTATGAGGACACGATCGATTCTCCCCGACGTCTGCATCGTTTTGTGATCAACTGCAGTCTGCAGCCACCTGTACTCCCGTCACACTATATCAGCCACTAGAAGACCTCGTCACCTGGGGACCAGAGGGCTTGATGTCAGTTTTTTGGGTGCATGTAACAGTTGATCAAGCAACACCCGATAGCTTTTCCACCTCGACTTGCTCGCCACCGTGGCTAAATAGTCTTACTAGGTATCTAGATAGCTTGACTGTACCATCTTCCGTGTCTACTTGATATTACACTTATCAAGATGATTCCCGTTCTACGAACCCCTTTCTTGAACCCCTCCAGTCTCCACCAACAGCTTCATGTTCATATGGCAAGGCTGGGCAGGACAGGTATTCGCCATCATCAAGCTGTTTCGAGGTCTTGACAATCCGGGCGAGATATATTGAGAGATCTTGGACTTGGTGATAGCAGAAGATCTCCGACTGCAATATGCCAATAACCGTGCCGGTCAAAGCAACAAGAAAACGGTTTCTGAGTTGCACACATTATATTAACGATACGTAAACGAAGATCAAACCAATTGTGTAGCGAATACCCTGTCATGTCCCGTTCTCGGGGCCGCTGAGCATTTGGGCATTTTGAGCATCGGCCCAACCGTGAGCATCAATCTCGGCGCTGAAGCTTCGCAGGCCAGGGGCGGCGTGACGGTATCGTACGGTGGAGTTGCCATGGACCATGGTTGGGGGCCAGGGCGTTCCTGGGTGCGGCCGTTAGAGTTGAGATGAGTGCTGTTGGTACGTCCGATCCTCCTCGTTCTAATGTCCAGTCGTGTTCAGGGGAACTGGCTTGCTGACACCACGGTTGACGACAGAGACTGGTTCTGCCGCAGAACTGTCCGCGTAGTTTTCCTTCCCTCTCGGCAAATCTCAAGGCTATTCACTGTACGTCAGGCCCACCTCTCTCATGTGTCACCGCCATCCCGGTCCTTGAACTGATCTTGACCCGAACTTGTGGTGAGTCTCAGAATGCATGTGCCCTGCAGGGTGGTCTTAGTCTAGGGACCTCCGTCATAGCCAGTCTGAAGAGGAAAATCCTCGGGAACTTTGATAACCTCTTCAGTCTGACATTCTTCGTACGTCCAATATTCCAGTCGATTTGGATGGCAGTTTGACTGACAGTTCGCAAGACACTATCCTGGCTAATATTGCTGGCTGTTGTGAGGGCTTTGGGGACCCGTGTCTCCTGGCTCCCAACTCCACGTTCGTATAAGAACTAGCATGTGGCATCAAGCGTCCAAACTGGGAGATGCCATAATGAGGTTGTCATAGAGTGGCAATGTTGGACAATGTCAAGGCGGGAACTGATCTTCTCGTCATGTGAACTCCCATAGTAGACGGCAGTTTCGCCATGCTTGTAAGAATGCTAGTGTATGACTATATAAGTATGCTCATCTATGTTGATATGACCCGAAAGTAAAGGAATTGCATATAAAACACTGCATATACTTATCGTATCATAACCGCGTGTCATCATGTCATCAAGCCGTAAATCGGACGCTAAACGTCAAGGGCCGTCATGTCCATCATGCATGATGCATCTATATCATGACAAAGTATTGCCGCACAACTGGCGAGTCATTCTCATCATCTCACGCCGTCGTGTGGGTAGACCGGGACGCATCATCCCGAGCAATACGGGCTCTGACTCCTCAGCCAAGCCCCGTATTTCCACATCACAGTCGGGATAACCAGCCCCAGCACACACGCAATGCCAGCGAGAAGTCCGTTCCCCGCCGCGACGCCCAGGGTGCGGTACAACTGGGGAGCGAAAAGCGGGAAGCCGAACCCGGCCATTGTGCGTACAAAGGCCGCCGCCCCCGTCGCGCTGGCGGCGTAGCGTTCGTACGTGTCGATCGTGTAGGTCTGGATGCACTGGAACGAGAGGATGAGACCTCCGGCGAAGATGGCCGCCCCTATGTTGGGAACAATCCAATGCGTCTTGAAGTGGGCTGATAGTCCGTATAGTAGGAGGCCGGCGGGGGCGATGACGGCCGTTGGGAACATTAGGGGGATGCGGAACTCGGGGCGGCCTGGGTGGTTGTGTTTTGCTTGGAGGGTCGTGTACACCTACAGGAATCAGCGGGAGCACGTGATAGATGGGAGGACGAGAGGGATGAGAGGAAGAGTTTGCTGCTCCGTAGAGTCCAGTCCATACCTTGTCGATCACGGGCCCTGCCACTTGAAGCCCAGTCACGAAGCCGACTCCAAGGGAGATGTAATTCAAACTTGCCGGTCCCGGCTCCTGATGGTAAATATCCATCCACACCGTCGGGAAGGAAGCAAGTCTACATCACCATAAGCTACATGTACCATTCCTGCTTTGATACGGATGGGCCAGGGACATGGAAACAGCACAGGCAACTTACACGAGGTACATTAGCCCATAGAGGTAAGCCCGATACCCAGCAGTCACCTGCAAGACAGGCTGGGTGCCCAGCATGATAAAAGGCCGAACGAGGTTCTTCCTAAGCGTCTGCCCAAACGTGCGATCCGGCCGCTCGTATTCCGTATGCAGCATCTTGTTGCCCGTCACCTTCCTCAGCTTGCGGGCCTTGAGGTAGAGGATCTTTGGGGCGTAGGTCTCGGGCAGGAAGAGAAAGGCGAGGACCTGGACGAGAGCGTCGGCAATGGAGACTGTCCAGAAGATCCAGCGCCAGTCGAGGTATTGGGTGAGATAGCCAGCCGCTGCGGGAAGAGTTGACGTGTTAGTCTCAGTTGGGATCAATGTCTATGAGTGCTTGTGGCCGATGTAGCGGGAGAACTGCCGGAGATGATGGCTTGAAATGGGCGAGAAAAAATGAACATACCGATGGGCCCAATGGCAGGACCCAGGAAGGGCGCAAGACTGTAGATTGCCGTCGCCATGCCACGTTCTTCCGCTCGCCAGCAATCGCTGAGGACACCGCCACCCAGCTATGCTCCGTTGTCAGTATTCAGTACATAACCTCTGTGCCACAACCCGATCGTCCAGTCGGTATCGGCACTGAACTCAGGGGCTGTCCAGTATATACGTACAGCTTGCGGCGCACTCCCTCCCAAGCCGCTCAAAAAGCGAAAAGCAAGCATCTGCTCCTTGGAGGCGGAAAAGCCGCAGACGGTGTTGAAGAGCAAGAACACCATGTTGGCCGACTGCAACACAACGATGCGCCCGTACATCTCGGACAGCGGGGCGAGGACGAAGGGCCCCACGGCGTAGGCGAGGAGGAAGATGGACATGAGGAGGTACGTCTCGATGTCCTTTTCGATTTGGAACTGGGCCTGCAGGGTTGGGAGGGCGGGCGCCAGCATGGTGGAGGCGACGGGGGAGATGAAGGTGAAGCAGGACACGAGGACGGTGGCGGTCCATCTTCGGTATTTGGGCCAGTTCTTGGGGTTGGCTGGGTCGTTGGGACCGTCCCAGGTTACCTGTGATGAGCGTCAGGAATCAGAAGTAGGTCGAGCGAGAATGATTACGGTCATGACGGCGGGCGTTGGAGGTAAAGGGGAAAGAAAGGAAAAGAAAAGAAGAAAAAAAAAGGGGAGGGGGGGGGGGGGGAAAGGGGCGAGACAGACAACTTACAAGATCGGGATCGTCCGAGGTGTCGTCTTGCAAACCCACATTTTCATGGCCAGCTTTGCTCTCCTGCATCATAGGTTGTCCGGCCTCTTCCGGCACGGAAGCAGGGAGAAGCATGGTATTGTCGTTGGGATACGAACAAGTCGTCGGCTGCGGAACCGAGGAATAGCCCCCAGTTCCCTCGAGGTCCTGGTAGCCCGCCTGTTCGGCGCCGCCGCCGCTTAACCATGGATACTTATACAGAGACCTCTCGTACTCGCTGAGGGAGGCCACGCCTGGACTCCACGGTCTCCACAACGTAGAGTGGGATCTTGCGAGAGTCCGATGAAGGGATGGTTCCCGGCCGGGCACAGGGACCGGCAGCACCGGCTTTCGGGAGATGGATGTCGACGTCGGTTGTCGGGTGAGAGACATGGCGACGGTGAAGGCGGAGGGTGAGCAGTGAGTCTAAAGCGAGTGACGCGAAAAAATAACAACAAGAACAGTAGAAACGAGTGAGAATAACGATTGTAAAGGACACGCGGGGGGTGGTCCGAAGAGGGACGAAAGCGAGGGGATGCTGTCAAAGACAACGAGGGTATTGTGCGTTCCAAAGTTTGGTCGACATGCCATAGTCGAACCCAATTGTTCAGAACTTCAGATGCCCGGCCCTATTATATGATAGCACGGCAAGGAGATGAATCAGTCCCAAGGACCAAGGGTTCACAGACAGCCCACAGTGCCGGGGCTCAGAGATGGAGAGAGATATGGAGTCCATCGAATGGAATCGTGGACCCCAGAAAGAAGAAGAATGTGTTGAGTGGTGAGTGTGAGTGGTGAGTCGTGACACTGGTGACTGGTGAGTGGTTGCTTGGCCCACCGCCCGCACGTTGACCCGAGATCGAGGCTATGTTATGTTGATAAACACTCTGTCCACTCTGTCCATATTTAGTCATGGCAGTGTAGACGCCGTCATCCAACCTTGCACACATGCAGGGTCATGACTTACACAGTAGCTCACCCCGGCATGTTGTTCACCTTTCCCCCGCCATCGCCGTTTCAACATTTTTTCGAGATTAAAGAAGACAAGAGAAACAAATGTATTACTTCTTTAGGTAAAATGATCCCGGTATGGTGACAAAACTAGCGGCATCTTGGCAGGACATGCCCCGTCGTCCGTCTCTGCGGTGTCCGTCGTGGCTGTGTACACATGCAAGTAACGTGTTTGATGCAGCTCATCCAAGACCCATTGGTCTACCGAGGAAAGGAAATCCAGATTATCCAAATCGGGGTGCAGAAGAATCGTGTTTCAGAGTTCAAACTTATAAATAACTCTTCGCGCTATTGGGGCCCGTCGCCGTAGGGCTAAGAGGGCTTAAGAAGTTAAGCCTCTCTTGGCAGATATTGGACCCTCCTCGATTCTTCTGTGCTGACCGTGCATCGTAGGGCACGATGGTTGCTATCTTGTAAGAATGACGCCAACATCTCCACGGACGCGGTGAAGGATATGTCGATGTCGTTTTCTCTTCGTGTTCAACTTGCCCGTTACATCTTTGGGGTGCATGGCGACTTGGACTAGTGGCAGGCAACCTATCACACCACCATGGCGATTCTGACAGTGGCGCCGGTCGGTGCCTTCTCTTCTCCAGCCGTTGGACGGTAGCCAGGCGCCAGGTACCCATGGTGGCACCCTTTGATGTCACCGGTTTTGGTGTATTAGCTCGGGGTACAGCCTCAAGGAAGTAAGGACTCAGGACCCCGAGATCAAGGCACAAGGAAGGTGGGCACACGACCAAGTCGCTAGCTGCCATGTTCATGCCTGTCCTATTGAGGAACTTGGACGATGAAGCCCGAACCTCGCCTCGTTGAGGATCCATCCGATCCCCATATGGCCCATATCGTGTCTGGTTTCTCCTCTCGGCGTTGGGGTCTTCACCGCTCATGGAAACGGAGGCCCATAGGGGGCAGACGTGTTCCTGGAGCAACAGACAGACGGAAAAGAAAGCAAGTCGTCTCCAGTGAGTCCAGTCTGGCGCACGGGTGGGTAGTTGAAGGCGGCACCTCATCATCTAAGCCTCCCATACCATTCAGGAGAAGCAGAATTAGCCTGCCATGAAGATGACGTGGTAACTAAACGAAGTATGGTTCCAAGTCGGAACATGAAGACACCAGTCATCAGTACTTGTCGCCGTTGACATGTATATAAAGTTGTCGTTAGCCCATCGAGGATAACCTGAGGATAGAACAGTCCATGACCATCGTTATTCCGCTCGCTCTGCACGTCTTAGCAAAAACTCAACGTTCGTTTTCAAAACGCACCTTCGTTTTCCTTACACACTCGCTTCCTTCTCCTCACTCTCGTTTTTATTTTATTTTTTTTATCCGCATTTTCGCCACTCTTCCATCTCATCACAGTTGAGATTAAGGAAGCCCCTGAACCCCCAGCCCCTGAAACCCCACTTACACCAAAACTACTACTACGTCAACAGCGACACCACCGCAAAAGCCATGAAGACGAAGACAAACACCGCATATCTGCCCCCTATGAAGGTGTTGGTCTGTCCATCCGGCTTCAAGGGGAGCCTCCCACCGCATACGGCCGCCGACTGCATAGAGAGCGGGATCCTCTCCGTCATGCCCGACGCCTCTGTTCGGAAGGTCCCCCTGGTGGACGGCGGCGAAGGGTTCACCACAGCCCTCGTCGCCGCCACGCGCGGGACGCTCTACCCCGTCCTCGTCACAGGCCCCGTAGGCGTCCCCGTCGAGTCCTTCTTCGGCATCTTGGGGGGCGACGACAGCAGCAGCACCGGCAGCAGCAGCAGCACCGGCAAGCCCAAGCCCGAGCCCAAGCCCAAAGGCAGGACGGCGGTCATCGAAATGGCAGCCGCAGCCGGGCTGAGCCTGGTTCCGCAACACCTCCGCAACCCAGGCCTCACGACGACGTACGGCGTGGGCCAGCTCATCCTCGCGGCCCTGGATGCGGGGGCCGAGCGCATCGTGGTGGGGTGCGGCGACTCGGGTACCTGTGACGGCGGGGCGGGCATGCTCCAGGCACTGGGGGCGCGCCTGCTGGACCGGGACGGCCGGGCGCTCCCCTTGGCAGGGGGCGGCGAGGCGCTGCGCCGGCTCGCGACGATCGACCTCGGCGGCGTGGACCCGCGCGTCGGGAAGGCGGCCATCGAGGTGGCGGTGAACTGGAGCAACGTGCTCTGCGGGCGCCAGGGGGTGGCCCGGGTGTTTGGCGCGCAAAAGGGGTCCACGGCCGAGCAGACGGAACGACTGGCTGCGGCTATGGAGGTCCTAGGAAACGTAGCTGGACGACTCTTGGGCGAGGAGAATATCGGACAGGCGGCTGGCGGTGGGGCGTCCGGGGGGCTGGGGACGGGGCTCCGACTGGTCGGGGCGGTTTTGCGCCCTCGGTACGAGGTGGTGGCGGAGTATGTGGATTTCGAAACGCTCTTCGACGATTGCGACCTGGTGATCACGGCGGAGGGGGGCATCGACGACCAGACGCCGCGGGGCAAGATTCCGGCGGAAATCGGGAGACGGGCCAAGAGGTTTGGGCTGCCGGTGGTGGCTATCGCGGGGACCATCGGGCCTGGTGCGCGCGTCAACTACGAGGTGGGCATCGATGCGTACACGTGCATCCTGCAGCGGCCCAGCACGTTGGAGGAGGCCGTTGTGGATGCCGAGAGGCTGACTCGGGAGAGTGCCGAGTGCGTTATGAGGATGATCATCGTAGGACGGATGTTAGGTTCCCGGGGGCAGATCAAGACGGAGACGGCTGATCAGGCACTGGTAGCATATTAGACCGGGCGTTAGATGTATACCTATGTAGATAGCTACTGTTAGCTAGCATGGGACTTACGACCCTGCATCCTCAGCATGTCTACCTATGAACTAAAGAAATGCCATTTTGAGTTTGAGTTTGACGTGGTTCAGATCGCCGTCTATGTGCGGAGGTGAAGGTCCGGTCCGTGAGAGCAACGGCCTGTAAAGGCCAAGACGCTTGAAAAGCCTCAGCGGGGCCACCTCTTATGAATACGAGGAGAATCAAGATAGTTGGCAAAAGACGATTGGATGTTGCGAAGAAGAAATGCCATGTCGTGATTTAGGTGATGGTCCTGAATCCTGATTGAAGTTTCAAAGGACGACATTGAGGAAGAAAGATGCAAAGGTACGTACCGTGGCTGATGTCGGATGTTTGTATTTCCGTACAGTCCCCGCTATCGGCTATCGGTATTAGCATGCACGGTCCACAGTCAGGTACCAGCTCTGCACCGCCACCGCCACACCCCACTTAGTCAGGAGCCGCCACCACTCAACGCTCAACACTCACCACCAAGTCCCAAGCCCCTCAGTCTCCCGCATCAACTTCAACACCATCACCGGATTCCCGACATCACACCTCGACCTATAACCGACCTCCCACTTTTCCCGACGTCCTCGTCGACCTAGTTGTCCCTTGCAGCTGAAACGGAGAAGAAAACGACTAGATTCATGCTAGATTAGCGCAAGCCTCTTACTTGGAGTCTTAGACTGCTCAACGACTCGACGACTTGACCGTCAACCTGCAGCATTCCCGCCTACCTATTGTTTGATTTGCTTCTATTTTCGGCTCTCTCTCTTTCTCTCTCTCTCTCTCTCTCTTTCCGCAACTTCAACGTGGACCGTCAACTTCCCATCGCCACATGTATTCTCATCTCGATCTCACACCTTTTCACTGCCAAGGATCCTAGAGCCGGTCCCTCGCCCCCGTTCGTCCTCCTCTTGGGCCCTCATCCAACCTCCTCGCCTTACCATCCCCCCGCCGCCAACATGCCCAGATCAGCACCGCCCCCGGATCATCCCACCGTCGCATTCAGCTCGGGCCGCACCTCCCTAGATGGAATTGCCTTTGCCGCCCCATCCGATACCGTCTCTGCCCCCGACCTCCGCATCCTTCACTTCAACGACGTCTACCACATCGACCCCTCCAGTGCCGAACCCGTGGGCGGCATTGCCCGCTTCACCACCGCCTTGAACCAGTATCGAGAAGCCCAACGGTACCGAGGACATCCCGATCTGCTCACCTTTTTCTCCGGCGATGCCTTCAATCCGAGTCTCGAGAGTGCCATCACGAAGGGTGAGCACATGGTGCCGGTTCTGAATTCCTTTGGGACTGACTGTGCCTGCGTTGGGGTATGTCTCTCAGTGTATCCCTCCAGTGTCACGTCGCACTCTCCCCTTCCAAAGAAAAGAAGAAGAAAAAGGGGGAAAAAGGGAAAAACCTACCACACACCGTATTCATCACTCATTGACCTCGTCTACCAGAACCACGACCTAGACTTCGGCGTCAAGCAGTTCGAGCACCTGAGCGCAAAATGCCGCTTTCCCTGGCTGCTCGCCAACGTCCTTGACCCGGCCTTGGGAGAAGACGTGCCCCTTGGCCACGCCAAACACACCCACATGATCACCGCCTCCAACGGGCTCAAGATCGGCCTCATCGGCCTCGGCGAGCGCGAATGGCTCGGCACCATCAACTCCCTGCCGCCGAACCTCATCTACCTCTCCGCCACCGCCACCGCCCGACGTCTCGCCCCTCTCCTCCGCGACCAGGGCGCCGACATGATCATCTGCATCACCCACATGCGCGAGCCCAACGACTTCAAGCTCGCCCGCAACACCACAGGGCTCGTCGACCTCATCCTGGGCGGCCACGACCACTACTACGCCCACGCCCTCGTCGACGGCGTCCACGTGCTCCGGTCAGGCGCCGACTTCAAGCAGCTCAGCTACATCGAAGCCCGGCGCAAACCAGGCCACCCCAACCCCACCGGCTGGGGGTCCTGGGACTTCGACATCCTGCGCCGAGACATCTACTCCTCCATCCGACCCGACCCGGCCGCCACGCGCCTCGCCAAGCGCCTAACCAGCAAACTTCACCACAAGCTGCGCCGTCCCGTCGGGTGGACCGCCACCCCGCTCGACGCCCGCTTCACCACCGTGCGCGCGCGGGAATCCAGCGCCGGCAACTTCGTCTGCGACGTCATGCGCCTCTACCACGACGCCGAGGCCGCCATCATGGCCTCCGGCACCATCCGCGGCGACCAGGTCTACCCGCCGGGCGTGCTCCGCCTGCGGGACATCACGCTCTGCTTCCCCTTCGAAGACCCCGTCGTGCTGCTGCGCGTTCCCGGCGCCGCCCTCCGCGCCGCCCTCGAGAACGGCGTGTCGACCTACCCGGCGCGCGAGGGCCGCTTCCCGCAGGTCTCGGGCATCGAGTTCGCCTTCGACCCGGCCCGCCCGCCCGGGGACCGCGTCACCTACGCCCGCGTCGCGGGGCAGCCGCTCGACCCGGCGAGGAAGTACGTCGTTGCCACGCGGGGGTACATGGCGCGCGGGAAGGACGGGTACGAGTCCCTCCTGGTCGCGTCCGGGGGCGGCGTCGTGGAGGAGTTGGTGGACGAGGAGCACGGCATCCTCATCTCCGCCATGCTGAGGCAGTATTTCATGGGGTTGCGCACCGTGGGCCAGTGGAAGAACCTGAGTGACCACTGGATCCGCATCGCGAGCGCCGCTGTGACGTCCAGCGAACCCGTCAGGCTGACGCCTTCGCCCCGTCCAGGCGAGGGGGATGATGTAACCGCGGCGACGACCCGGAAAGGCGCGGTCGAAGCGGAAGGGCCGAGCCCGACGCAATCGCTGTGGAAGGACTGGATTGTGAAACGCCGGGGTTTCGGCGTCCGTCCACCCGACGGAGACGAGGATGTCGAGAGTGACCTGGACGAAATCAACGGGGATGACAGGGACGGTGGGGATGATGTGGCCGCCATCGACCTTGAATTGCTTCTTATGCGCAAGTTCTTTCATCGCTGGGCTGCCAAGGTTGGCGTCCGCGCCCAGACCGGGGATCCTCTTCACGGGTGTGACTACTCGGTCGACTGGACCCGGGTGATTGCTCCTGTCGTCGAGGGGCGCATCAAGATTGTCGGGGCGTAGGGGACATCTCATGACTGATGGACGGTTAGAGAAAGTATATTACCTCGTATTTCCCAGGGCTGGGCCTATCAATCGGGCCCCATCAGGCCCTATCGGGCCCTATCGGGCCCTATCCTCTGGCTGATCCATGGATTACCGTTTTCATGTTGATATTCTGCTGGTAACTATCTGCAGACTCATGGCTACTTCGATCCATGTATTTTATCCTTTAGATTTTCTCTCCGTGCATCTGCGTTTCCGAGACCCAGTCTGAAAAGATATCAAGCCCGCACAGGCCATAAGAGCCATACTATATATGTCCTTCTGCTATGCATGATGCACCTGAAATCGCCTCGACGGCGTCGATGGGACTTGACGGGTCGTTCGGTCTCACCTCGGTGATCAGAGAGCAGCTACAGCCTACGGATAGGTACACCGAATGCGTTCTTATCCAACAAGGCATCCTATCTATAGTCTATATGTATAGGATTCTGCGGGGCAATGGGTAATAATGGAGGAGGGCGGGTGGGGGATAGGGGGTTGGCCAACCCATGACAGTACAGCTATTCCGCCGCGGGGTTATTCATTCAGACTGACGACCGGGGAACAGGAACAGGAAAACATGAACTGACCCCTACACGTACTACTAACTACATTGTACGGTAGGTACTAACACGAATACGGTATGACAAGGGGTAAACGGCAAAAATGCGGGGATTCGACTCGAGTTGTCGGGACCGGGGCCGCGCCTCCCGACGGGCGTATTAATTTGGAGCTCGCTCTCGCCTTGGTCCTTGGAACTTGGAACCACTTCACACATGTCGTGCATGTCGTGGGGATTCGTCCTGTCCAATGCCCGAAACGCCACCTGCGTCTTTTCAGGGCCCTTCCAAGTTGATCTGTACACGGACTCGCAGCCGACTTCGGCGCCTTGCTCCCATGAAAGGATTCTGTCTCTGAAACCAGTTCTTGGGGTCTCGGATTTCTGACAGCTGGGGCAGGCATATGTGTGCTTTTCGTGGTTTCTTCTCCGGGGGATGTGTGATTTGTGGTCTTGATCGCGGGCACGGCGGGGGTTGTTCGTATGGCTGACAAGGACAACGACGACCGGACAGGACAATCCATGATGATCCTGCCGTCCAGTCTACCGCCATCACTTCGTTCTCCAACAGCCCGACCGATGGGGCATGCCACGTTTCGACCGCGCCGTTAAAGCAAAGACTCCCCGGCTTTTGCGAGCGTCGAGAAAGCTGGTCATTCTTTATTACAGGGTCGGCTGCCGATTGTGGCGGGGCGGAATTTGGAAACGGCCGCTAAGCTGGCGGGATGGTGCAAGCCGTTGCTTCGAAGGACATATTTTGAGAATGGAGTTCGAGGAGATAGATGCTGGGGGACTGTGAGCCCTGGACTGGCCAAACCCATGGGTATTCTTCGGAGGTCAGGTCAGTTACAGAGCGGGAAAGGAAAGACCATGCTGGCGTGAGGAAAGGAGGGCGACGGCCTGTTCGTAAGAAAGTCAGGACTCAGGACCGGGGACGATGGGATGCTGAAGATTCCATTGAAAGATCTGAAGAGACGCGAATCGGTCGCCTTGGTGGCTGACCACTAGCCCCAAAACTGGGAATGTATGTCAAGGCTGCTTTCTCGGGAAAAAGACCATCTCTTCGTGGTCCCAAGAGACCATCTCTTCGTCTTCCCGAGCTGACGTGGTTCTGTGGCTTGCATGAGATGCAGGCGAAGGCGAGAAATATGGTTAAATCATGCAGGGGCATCCAGTGAGCACACAGCGAGTGGCCTGTAGGCAGGGGATTTGCCCTTTTGTGTTGGGAGAATAGAGATGCCAAGAGAGTAATGGTTTGGAGAACGTGTAAAGTAATACGAAAAGACAGAAGAAATGAAGGAGGACGGAGAAATGAAGACGGAGGTGAGCAAGGAAGGCCAAAAAGGTGATGATGGGCGCTGTCGCGCTGTCGCGCTGTACACGTAGTGTAATTACGTAGTGTAATTACAGCCCACTATAGGTATTCGTACAATTACCTAATAAGGTACCTTACCTAAAGAAAGGTAAGGTACAGTGCAGTGCAGTGCCTTGGTTGGAGGCGCGGGGATGTCGGCCCGAGAGGGAGGGGAAAACACCGGCGTCATGCCGGTTAAGGCTCGTAGTTTTTCCGTAGCTTTGTCGCCTAAATCTCGGTCCGGGGGAGACATTTAGGGTAGGTACCACCGTTAGGTACCGCCGTTAGGTACCTTAGTCCGTACATCGTCATAGCGGGGAACTTTGCCAAGTCACCCACCGAAGCCCACCGGACAAAGGAGCCAACATCGCTGAACTCCCTGAAGATTACCTACCTAGGTAGCGATTCGATTCAGCAGGTACGCCAAAGTGCAGGTGCAAGGGTGAAATAAGGGTTCTGTACCCTGTATCGTACCCTGTACCGTACCCCTCCCCTCCCCCACTAAGATATCCTACCCCACCTTACCCCACCACCCTCGCACCTGCTGCAACCTCTCCACTCACCTCCCTGCACCTTCCCTGCACCTTCCCTCCATCATCCTGCCTTTTTACCTGTTCCTGACTGGACCTTATTCTCTCATCCATCTCGACCTAACCTACTTTTCCACTTACCAAGACAAGACAAAACATCCATACAACGTAAACCTCCCATGGGCCATGATCTCCGGCCTCGAATTATGTTGCTCTAACTCAATCTGTCACGGTTCATCCGACATACTCCCGGTTGGTCCGACTTCCGCGCCGCAACTTCCGACATGGACGATTCTCCGCTGGGTTACTGGGCGTTGGCGTCGAGCAAATCCCGTCTCGGACCTTGGACCTTGGACCTTGGGCATTGGTCGTGCCACGCCAGCCACGGTCTATCAGAGATTCAGAGCTATACACCCTTTGCTCTTCCTATCCGTCCTTCTCACCCCAGTGACCCCACCTCCACTTCATCTCCCGCCCCGGCACATCAATCCCGTATCCATGATTTACAGTTACTCACTCGTCCTCCTCGCGTCGCGGTAGAACGGGATGGAGGGGGAGGGGGAGAGGGGGGAGGAACGAACCTCCTATGGGGACGAGGGGACCAAGCAGGATGGCAACTCCGGGACAAAACCTTTTAAGGACATGGACAGTCCCCATCTCTTGGGTCGTCTTCGCTTAATATATCCTTCTCCCCTCCTCTCTCTTCCTCTCCCCTCAGTCACCTTTATCGTCCATCTCCCTGATACCATCCCCCCTTTAACCAGGCTCCCATTCTCCCATTCTCCCGTCCTCCCTCCGTCCTTCCACCAGTACATCTGCCGCGTGTTATTGGAATTCGGAAACTATCATCTCCAACCCGCGGCAAGCGAGAATGGCTCCCGTCGACGTGAACGAGATCCTCTCCAAGCTGACGCTGGAAGAGAAGGTTCGTACTCCCCAGTCATCGTCACCCACTACCTGTTGAGGAGACAGAGCTCAGTTGAGCTTCTAAGAATGAAATCGCCGCAAGCATACCGAGAGGCTAACAGGACGGTGCACTCCAATTTCTAGATCTCAATCCTCGCCGGTGCCAACTTCTGGGAGACTGTGGGAATCCCCGAAAAAGGCGTTCCGGTCCTTAAGGTGCGCCGAACCACCCCGACTGTCCCGACCCTGATCCGATATCAATGTCCCTCCCAATATTTCTATTCTGTCTTTTTTTTTTTTTTTTTTTTTTTTTTTTTTTTTTTTTTTTTTTTTTTTCAATGTTGCCAACTGACATCCCAATGCCCGACCGACTAGACTTCAGACGGCCCCAATGGAGCTCGTGGAGGAACCATGGAAGGCGGTGCCACCTCCGCGTGCTTCCCCGCCGCCTGCAGCGTAGCATCCACCTTCGACGTCGACCTCGCCCAGCGCATCGGCACCGCCCTCGGCAAGGAGACCCTCACCAAGGGAGCCCGCTGCCTGCTGGCCCCGACCATGTGCATCCACCGCCACCCGCTCGGCGGCCGCAACTTCGAGAGCTTCTCCGAGGACCCCTTCCTCTCCGGGAAGCTCGCCGCCCGCAACGTCATCGGCGTGCAGTCCACCGGCGTCTCCGCCACCATCAAGCACTACGCCGCCAACGAGCAAGAGACCCAGCGCCTCACCGTCGACGAGGAGATCAGCGAGCGCGCCCTGCGCGAAATCTACCTCAAGCCCTTCGAGATCTCCATCAAGGAGGCCAACCCGGGCGCCGTCATGACCGCCTACAACATGGTCAACGGCATCCACGCCGACTCCCACCCCTTCCTCCTCCAGAAGGTCCTCCGCGGCGACTGGGGCTGGGACGGCCTCGTCATGAGCGACTGGGGCGGTGTGAATTCTACGGCCGAAGCCCTCAACGCCGGCCTCGACCTCGAGATGCCCGGCCCCGCCCGCTGGCGCAAGATCCCCGACGTGCTCGCCGCCGTCAGCGCCGGCAAGGTGACCGAGCAGACCATCAACGAGCGGGCCCTCCGCATGCTGCGCTTCCTCGAGCGGGAGAAGTGCTTCGAGGACCCGACCATCCCCGCCGAGCAGTCCATCGATAAGCCCGAGGACCGCGCCCTCATCCGCGAGGCCGGCGCCAGGGGCATCGTGCTGCTCAAGAACGAGGGGGGCATCTTACCCCTGACCAGGGAGAAGGCCAGAGGCAAGAAGGTCGCTCTCTTGGGATATGCCAAGCAGGCTCTCATCCATGGTGGTGGCAGTGCTTCCGTCAGTTCTCATTACAGGGTTACCCCTTGGGATGGTCTGCGCGCCGCCCTGGGTGACGATGTCGAGCTCACTTATGCTAAGGGTGAGTGAGGCCTTTTCCTTTTTTTTTTTTCTTTTTTTTCTTTTTTTTTTCTTTCTGCTTGCTCTCTCCTCTCTCCTCCCTGTTTTGGCTCTCTTTTCTTCTTCCTATTCTTTCCCCTTTCTGCCCCGCCTGCTTACGAATACCTTCTATAGGCGCTCATACCTTCCGTCGGTTGCCGCTCTTGTCCGAAAACGTCGTCGGCTTGGATGGTACGCCCGGCTTCACCTACAATGTCTACTCCCCCGGCCATTCCACCCCGATCGAGACAAAGCAAGGTCACCCAAATTCGGAACTGTCCGTCTTCGAGACGTTCGACCTCGGAAGTGCCGCGCCGGGGGCCGGCGGCGAGCGCGAGTTTGAGCTTATCGGTCACTTCACGTCGCCCGTGACGTCCACCTACTACTTCAACCTGTCCGGCCTGGGTCCGTCGAAATTCGCCGTCGACGACAAGGTCATCTACGAACAACCGGCCAACTGCTCCGACTTCATGGGATACATGCTCGGCGGCGTACCCGTGCCGCGCCTCGAGGTGCCGATGGAGGCCGGCAAGCGGTACAAGGTCCAGGTGTTCACCAACATGCCCCGGCCGGTCGCGGGCGTCGACCTGGGCATCTTCGACGGCCGTTTCAGCGTCCGGCTGGGCGGCATGGCGGCGGTCGAGTACCACAGGGACATCCTGGCCGAGGCGGTTGAGGTGGCCAAGGGGGCCGACTACGCCATCGTCTTCACCGGCCACGACCCGGACTGGGAGACCGAGGGCCAGGACCAGTCGGGCTTCCACCTCCCGCGCGAAGGAAGCCAGGACAACCTGGTGGCGGCCGTGGCGGCCGAGAACCCCAACACCGTGGTCGTCAACTCCACCGGCGTCGCCGTGGCTATGCCCTGGTTGGGCCAGGTCAAGGGTCTCCTCCAGACCTGGTTCCCGGGCCAGGAGGCCGGAAACTCCATCGCCGACGTCCTGACGGGCGCCCGCACCCCGGAGGGCCACCTGACCTGCACGTTCCCCAAACGGCTCGAGGATACCCCCGCCTACGGCAACTTCCCGGGCGAGTACGTCGACGGGCAGCTCAAGGTCAAGTACGCCGAGGGCGTCTTCGTGGGGTACCGCCACTTCGACCGCCTCCCCGCCGACAAGGTCAACTTCCCCTTCGGGTTCGGCCTGTCATACACGACGTTCGACTACGCCGACCTGGACGTCAAAGAGGTGTCGGCGGACGAATACGCCGTCAGCGTGCGGGTCAGCAACACGGGCGGCGTCAAGGGCGCGGTCGCTGTGCAGGTGTACGTCGGCCACGCGAACCCGGCGCCGGAGAACCCGGTCAAGGTGCTGGCGGGGTTCAAGAAGGTGGCGCTCGAGGCGGGCGAGAGCCAGACGGTGCTGATTCCCGTGGGGGCGCGGGACTTTGCGTTCTGGAGCGAGGGGGGGCAGCGGTGGGTCGTTGCGGGCGGCGAGTACAAGTTTAGCGTGGGGAAGAGCGCTGGCGACTTGGTGCTTTCGGCGGCGGTGCAGGTCGGAGAGAAGACGTATGCTCCTTGAGTCTTTGTGGCAAGACGTTTGCCTGGCGGAGGAGGGGGCGAAGCACTGAAGCAGGTTCCTAACAAAGAACAGTTATGATGATTATGATAGGTCAACGACTCAACGTGGTCTCGGAAGAGGAGGCCGAACGAATATGATGTTTTTTGACGATATTTTGGAATAGAGCGGCCAACTGGCCATACCCGAGGACGTGGTCTCTCGGCTCGAATGAAGGGATACCGCGAATAGAACGCATACATGATACAGGTCCTTCCGACTCGTCGATGACTGTGACATGGTACGTCTGCTGCAATGCGTAATACCTATGGGTGCTCACTCATGGCCCCAAGGGCAGGCATCAGAAGAATCGGTTCAACAGAAATGCCACTTTTTTTTTTTTTTTTTTTTTTTTGTCGTCTTCGACAGAAGCACGGCTGCACGATGCCCTCCTGCCAGTGGATCAAGGTGGAGTACGGGATCCCTGTTGATCCGGTAGAGTGGTATGGTAGTATGTATGTACGGAAGCGACAGCATCATCCGCCGTGCGTCGGCCCATTCTCGAGTTGCCGGGTGCAGACCGCGTTGCCGTGCAGGGTTACAGCGAGGCGTTGCAACGATACTAAATAGCAGACGAGCCGTCTCCGGACGCAGCCGTTTGTTTCGCCTGGTGGGAAAGGGCTGAAAGGTCTGCAGATAAGAAAACCAACTCTTCGGTATTCACGTCTTTTGTTCGATTAGGGAGAGCAGATAGGCGTCTTCTGAGTCTTCTGAGTCCTGACCCCTTGACGGAGATGTGCCGATGCACTATAATCTGTGGGTTTTGAGCTGGTCCTTATGAGTCTGACTTTATCAGCATGAGCCAGTTAAAAATAAATTTTCTGACTCCACTATCCATCCCTCTTATAGCTTATTTCCTTTGGTTATTTGACAATAACGTGGGTGAGTGAGGTGGTTGGTTGGTCCCCGTGTGTCGCTGGTTTTGTGTTGCTTGGACCTCCCTACCTTACCTTACCTTAAAAAGGTACCTTAATAAGATATATGTAATGAGAAACATGTCACGTGAGGACGGGTCATTATAAACGCACAACGCATAACTGTATCGGCCCTACATAGCCGTGGTCTGATAACTGGTCCTGTGGGAAATCGTCGGTATGAAAACGGTAGACTCTTCGGGCGTAGGTATATTAAACGAACGGTGTTTATATAGAGAAACCGTTCTGCTTAAGTACCCTGGCCCGTATCGCCTAGACTAGATATCTACCCTAGCTCTTAAATTAATATAATTCCTTACGTAATTTATGCTAGGTTGATCTTATAGTTTTATATAGTAGTAACTAATATTCCTGTTATTCTTTTTTAAATTAAAGCTTTAGATAGCTCCCGAAAAAAGATCGCCGCCTAGCTCGCGAAGAGTTTTAATGCTATAGCGTTACGCCCTCCTACCCTCTTATTAATAACCTAGCTAACCGCTTGCCTACCTAGGCTTAAAGCTATTACTAACGGCTTACTTACCTAGGCGTCGAAGAAGCCACTAACCGCTCGCCTACTAAGGCTTAAAGCTATCGTTAATTCACCCTCCCCCCTCTACCTTCTCCGCCACCTCTTTTATCCCTTTACCTATACCCCTCCCCGTTAGGATAACCTCTAACGCCCTCTCTTATAATAGACCTCTTCTTAACGGCCGTTCTAACTACGTCGTTTAGGTTATTAAAGCTTAACGCCGCGCTAAAGACCTTAACCTCTAGTACTTCCTCTAGGGCTAAACTCGAATTAAGAACCAGGCTCCTACCCTCGAAGACTACTATATCTATAAACCTAAGGTAAAACCCGAACTAGTAGATCCTGCCTCTTCTGCCCCCGAACCTATAGTAGACCTATAAGCCTCGTACAAGAACTAGAAGAACCGACTACTTGTTAAGAAGGAGATATGGGTCTACCCCGAAGGGATAGGGACTAGAGGGTGATAGGGAGTGATAGATAAGGATCGTAGTCTTATATAAGGGGAGGCTAACTATAGGTTAACTAGTGGTTAATAGGAAGAGTATCTTAAAGGTAGGTGGTAGTATAGAGGAGAGATAATCGCTAACCCCTTCCTTCTAGAATAGTCTAGCTCCCCGTTTTATATAATAAATATCCACTTATTAGTTAGCCGGTAGTCCACTACGTAGTCCACTACTATATTCTAATACCTCCTAAGTCTTCCTTATATTCTATACCTAATAGGCTGCCCCTTCCCGGAATAAGGCCTATCCTTAGGCCGTAGGTAGCTACGGAGTGTCTATAGAGTGGGTAGTAATTATCGGGTGAGGCGAGTGGGTTAATAGTACTATCGGTAATACGTGGATCGGAGCTTAAAGAAAATAAAGCCGTAGGTAATCCACCTTTAAGTAACGGTGGAGCTAAAGGCTTAAAATATATCCTAACCTTAAATAGTAGTACTAGAGGATATTTTTAGGGGAAGAGAATAAAGAGAAAATTCCTTACGAAGTATACTATTTTAGGTATATATAAGGGCGTGGAAAGAACTACTATAGGTAGCTAACCGTTAATTAGACGGTGGTTTATAGAGGTTGATTATAAAAAATAAGTCTATAAGGGATATATTCTTATATAATAACAGGTATAAAATAAAAGTTTAAAGTAGCTGTTTACCCACTATTAGATAGTAGTAGTATTATTAAATAGCTCATATCTCCCCGTTTATTAAACGCGTTCGTATTATTTATTCCGTGAATAGGGAAGTGCGTTACCGGTAATAAAGGCGTGCCTACCCCTTTATACGTGAATAGTAAAATAGCAGGCACGATAAGTGGGGCCTTACTATTATATAGAGGATCTTTTCGGCTATAGGCCTTTTTTCCTTTTCTTCTTCTTTTTCTCTTTTTGGGTTCCCGAAGGGGGTTATAAGTACCCCTCCTATTCCTCCCTTAAGGAGGCTATAGGCAGTGTTACCGTGCCAGAACTAAAGCAGAGGAGGGGCAGTCTGGTAGAGGGGTAATGGGTGGCTAACGTGTATATAGTTTTTCTTTAGTATACTTTCGCTATTTCTCTTTAGTATATATAGGTCTATTCTTCCGTTAGAATCTAAGTTCGAAGGAGAGTAATAGCTAGATAGCGGTTAGATAGAAACTAATATAGAATAGATTAATAGAGAAGATTTATAGTTATTATAGTTAGGTGAAAATTTACTAAGCGTTATAAGTGCATCTAGAGTTATAGTAGGAATATAGGTAATAGCTAATTAGCTATAGGATAACTATACCTCCTAAGGGTAGTCGTGGTAGCGGTGCGGTAAAGACTCCGAAAAAACCTTATCCTAAGAAAAGTGGAACCGCCGACGTTTAATAGGGGGTTAGCGGTAAGGCGTCCGGTAACTAGGGTACGGATACTAAGAATAATAATACGTCGGCGCTTATAAGTCTAATTAGTGGAGAAGTAGGTGGTAGTTAGTAGTAGACTAGTAATAAAGTTAGTAATAGAAACGAAAATAGTGCCGGTAATTCGAATAATAGTTTTACGGCTAGAAATAATAGAATAATAGAGTTAGGTAATAGTAGATTAGCTAATACTTCTCGGGCGTATACTTTATATCCTCTCGTAGAATAGGGATATAATCCGTTTCCGGTTCCGTGCGTGTAGTGTATTAGTCGAATAATAAAGTGGCACCCTAGTAGTAGTTAAATCCCCTTATATAGTTATAGAGATTATAAGTAAAATAGTCGAATAGGGAGTAATAATTAATTAGCTACTAATTTAGTATAATAGCGGCCTCGCTTAAATATATATATTATATAGGATAGGGATTAAAGCCCTATAAAATGGTATATTAGTTAGTTTATGGCTATTCTACTACTGATTAATTATAGATGCTATATATATAGTTAGATAAAATTATACATCTGCGTAATATAATTGAATAATATTAATATAAGGTAGATAGAAGCTTAAAGGTATATGCCCGCGGGTTAACTATTAAGTGATAGTTTCTAAAAATAGAATAGAGTGAGTTATAGTATTTATAGCGCCTGGGTAAGCGTGTATTAAACTATAAGAAGATATAGCTATTAGGTTAAAAGCGTCCTACTACCGAGTTAGAGGAAGAGCGCTAAGAGTAAGTTTAGCGGTAGTTAATTATAGCCGAGCGGTAGGCTAGTAGTAGCGTAGCGGTTACTAATATACTACGATAATTATTAGTACTATAAGAAAAACGAACTAAGTATTCTAGCGCCTAAGTATCTTTTATTAGGTTACTTCGTGATAGGTAAAAATCCCTAACCGACGAAATTATTATAGGTTAACTATTAGTTAGCTTATAAAGATTAGACTAATAATTATATAGGAATTTAGGAATTAACAAAAGGAATTAAGTAGTTAGGCTATCGCTAATAGTAGGACTACCGTTATTATTCTAGTGTTTATACCCCCCCCTCCTCCGATAAATAATAGCTATAGCGATATTATAGATAAGGAGGATAATAAGGGAGTCCCTACTATTGACTAATAGGTGTGTAATTCCCCTTATATTCCTGACTTATAACCTATTACTGATTAGTTATTATAAGGGTGGGTATTATAACTTCGATGATATCATTAATTAAGGGGTGACCCTTAGTTAGTTAGGGTCGGGTTTGTTAGGTTTAGACTAATAAAAAGTATCGGGTTTAGACTATTAACTAATAAGGAAATAACTAGGATATAGCGGTTATATGTATTTTTGCTTTAGTATAAAGTCCGTAAATAGGCGGCTAGAGATTATTAGCTATATAATAGTAATATAAAGAAACGTAGTTAATTTAGTAAAATAATAGTATTACTATACCGCTAATAACTATAAATTAGCGGTTATCTAATTAGAGAGGTACTCCGTAACTAAATCTTTATAGAGATAACTTAGGTTCCCAAGTATTTTCCTCTACAGGATAATCTTCCCACTTAATAAGGAATTCACGGTAGCGGCGTTTAGGGTTCTAGCGTATACCTAAAATCCTTTTAACCTTAAACTTATTCTCCTCTTCCCCTTTAATATCTAATAGCTATTTAGCCGGCGCTCCGCGACTATCTTAGTTAAAAG